AAGACTCGTCCTACAAACCAGAGGAGTCAGAGGAGAGCAGGTCTCTTTGCGGAGTGTCGATTTGAAAGAATGGCGGAGGCAGCTCCAAATACCCCCCCGCGTCCAGCTCTGAAGCGAAAGCACCGACGAGAGTGGGGCCCATAACGTCTGTAATCTTAATAGAAACAAACATTTATTATAAAATTGTAACAACAACATTTATTAATCGCCATTAATCGAGATTAATGAATTTCAAAATGTGCAATTAATGCAATGAATTAGTTAATTTTCTTAATCTATTAACAAAATAGAGTAATGAATTACATTACTTTTACCTGCTTCCTTATGAAAATGCTTTAAAATACAAAACAAACACAGCTAGCAGACAGCATGACGTCACACTTCCTGCGCTGATCCCAGAGCAGCTGCTTTATTATGTTCTTTTATCCCCGCCACTCTGAGAGTGGAAGATTGTTCCATAAGCCTAAAGGCAAAGAAGAGCTCCTCGCTGGGCTTCTCACCCTCAGAGAATGTACTGTATGGGAGAACAAGTATTTAATACACTGCCGATTTTGCAGGTTTTCCCACTTATAAAGCAAATAGGATTTTTTTTTATCATAGGTACTCTTTAACTGTGGGTGATGGAACCTAAAACAAATCTAGAAAATGACATTGTATGATTTAAAAAAATATATTTAGCAGTTTATTCCATTACATAAATGTTTGATATATCAAAAAAGCCAAACTTAATATTTGGTACAGAAACCTTTGTTTTGAAATGATATAACTACCATATCGTAACTATTATAAATATCCAATATGAAAATCCTAATAAATATATTATGTTAAAGGATAAATAAAACGTATTGAATCTGTACCCGCTGTGTCGTGCCGACTCTGTACGCTACCTCCCCACCAAGAACCCGCACCGTGACAACCTGTAGGCTATATATTGAGATGAACCTAGTTTGGGAAACACCCGATCAGTGTGTTGAGAAAAGACCAACTCAAAAGCCCCACAAAACTGCACACAATGAATTATTTTGGATCAAATGTGCCTGTTTTCATCCACGTCCTGGTTGTGTGTCCTGACCGCAGTCCTGTGTGCGTCGCAGCTGAGTAGCGATGATAACTGTAACATGCACGTGGTTTGTGAATATACGGCGTAGCTAAACATCCCGGTGTAGAAGTCTGAAGAGGTCAGGCTGATCTGGGTCCAGCTGTTTTACCTCTAGGTCTTCTCTCGTACCGAGGAGGAAGAAGCGCGTATATAATCCACGTTTCAAAAGCACAAAAATACAAATATTGACTATTTGTAAAATGTATTTTAATATAATAAATGATATTAAACTTCGTCGCTCATGGTGGGGCCGCGCCCCGTTGCCCTCTATGGAGCGGCCTCTGCAATGTGACGCTCTGGGCGAGAACTTGTTTCCGGTTATTTTAAACTCAAATGAAATCAGTTAGGCCATGTACTTTCAGCTGAAAGTAATAATGCAATCTCAAGGCAGAGGAGATTCTATCAATACTGTTAACAAAAACCACAATGGCGAACACATTTATAAACTTGTATGCAAGGATACAAGCTATTTTAACTGTACCGGTTTGATGATGCTTCCTTCTGACACAACTATATGTTAAGTTTATAATCACACAACAAAACAAAAGGTGCAAAGCGAGCTCATTTATTTTTCTTTTCTTTGTGTATTTATTCTGTAATGTTACTGACTTAGAAAGTGACATTTCAGATTCATACCGTGTCTACCTGTGCTCACTTTGATCCGTTTCTGTTAATAATATGAAGTATAAACTATATATGTAATTGTCTCCAGTAAGATATTAGTCAGCCTCTAAGTGTGAAAGTCATTAAAGTTTTCTTTTCACTAATAACTACGGGCGAATTCAATTCAATTCATTTTATTTTGTATGGCCCAAAATCGCAAATTACAAATTTTCCTCAGAGGTTTTACGGTCTGTACACATACAACATCCTCTGTCCCGAAACCCTCATCGGCCTTCAACCAAACCTTAGTGAGAACGTCAGAGGAGGGATCCCACTCCCGGGATGGACAGACTACAATGGATGCCATGTGTACAGAATGAACAAATACATGCAATTCCTATGACAGAAATGATTCAAGTAAGTGTGAGTAGTAAGCCAGGCGCACAGCAGGACCACTGCAGGGGCAACCACCATCAGATAGAACCACCATCACATAGAACCACCATCAGATAGAACCACCATCAGATAGAACCACCATCAGATAGAACCTCCATCAGATAGAACCACCATCAGATTGAACCACCATCACACAGAACCACCATCAGATAGAACCACCATCACACAGAACCACCATCAGATAGAACCACCATCTACAGAAGCGTGTGGGAAGGGAGAGCACAGAGACTTTAGGAGAGGGTAATGTTGGTTTATGAGTACAGTAATATGATTAGAATAATAATAATAATGATGGATGATGATGATGGCAGCAGCAGGTGTCAGGACCAGGGTCCAGAAGGAACTACGGAGGTGGGCAGACAAGCTGCTCGTGTGTCGGTACATTGATGTTAAGAACAGTCCATGGACTCAGGAGGGGTTCAGGTAAGAGTCTTGGTCAGGGGCTGTATTGGGGGGGGAGTTAAGGTTATCACTAAAAGGAGTGTATTTAAAAACACAACATTGGTTACCAACGTCACGTAACTTAAGCAGTTTTATAAACTAAGACGTGATTTCATTTAGTATAACATTTCTATCGGCTGATCTTGGAGTGAATGCTATTACTTAACGTTACATTTAAAAGTGAACTCTCCGGGCTGTCGGATCGGCCTGCGTCCGGAATAAATTAAGTCCTCGTCGGCCCGCACTGCATGCTGGGCCGCAAAGGATAGATCAGATGTGTCCTCCAAATCGGCTCCTGGAGGCGATGGCTGCCTCCCTCGACCCCATTCGGAGGAGCCGACGGATTGGGACAGGCGAGTCGCAGCAGAAGTGACGCATGCGGTCGACGAATGCGTCCTTTAGGATGCAGCACGGAGACTTTGAGACACAGCTCGTGTTGTCCCTGGTGTCCTTACACAGCGCTCTGGTCTTGGCCATTGTGGAGCGGTTGGAGTCTGTTTGATTGAGTGGGTGGACAGGTGTCTTTTATACAGGTAAGAGTTCAAACAGGTGCAGATAATACAGGTAATGAGTGGAGAACAGGAGGGCTTCCTAAAGACAGAGTCATTGGATACAACCGTGGGAGTGGCAGTGCGGAGTAAAGTAAACCCCCCTAAGACCATAAACCTTGATCCCTCAGGGACTCCTAGGAGTCAACTCGAAAGTGGTTGAAATGGTGTGAGTACACATGGGACAGCACTCCGCTGTGACATCATATCACCATGACAACGTGAAAACGTATAAATTGACACAAATGTGAACGTCTTCCATGATGTGTTCTAATCAAAAAGAGGCCATTTTAAAAGCCTTTTTTGTCAAAACAGCTTCAGTGACTAAACTAAATACTTCATGAATAAATTGTATTATATATAATAATATTTGATTTGCTGTCCCCATTTTAGTTCTTTGTTTTGTCTGTCTTACCTGTATTTCCTTACTCAGTAGGTACAACATGATTAAAATCAATAAAATCAGTTATAATTGTAAAAAATACATTATTAAAAAAAACAAAAAACGTTATTGTTTAAAAATATATAATAACAATAAATAACCACAAATAAGTGAAAATAAAATTGAATATGAATCTGATTCATGTTTTCTGTTGGTTTTGGTTCAAAAAATCTAAGAAACACAGAATCTGTAGACTACTCCCAAATAGTCTTATTACTGCCATTTGATGACAATTGCTCATATACAGTAAGCCCAATAAGTATATAAGTATATTTATTATTTTTAAGGTTAAATGTTATTTAACGAGTTACAAAAAATGGCCCCAACTTCTTTTAAAACACCCCGGGTTTTCAGTCAGTCAGGGCAAACCCAGAACGACACGTTGCCTGGATTTATCCAGTCACGTTCCAGTGACCTGTGGGTGATTCCTTCAGGGAAAAGCCTGCATTAAGGAAAGGGTTCATAAAGGGCTCAAAATGTCTGCAGCAGAGCCTCAAACACTCAACGATCCGACAGCGGGACAGAACTAAACCCTCAGTGAGCAGGATCACGCCACACATTCCATGAGCCCATAAGTGTGGACTTTGGGATCGGCCTATTTGACTCTAAATGCCCCCTCCCTGCTCAGTAGAGAGACTGCAGGTTAAAAGACACCGTATTGGTTTTTCTAAACGCAGTTTGGAAACTAACCTGGAAACACCAAGATCTGCATTATAAAATAGGCTAGTTCTTCAAAAAACATACTGGTATTTCTAATTATATGTTGAACTGGGAGGACACTTTTTTTTCCCTATTTGACCAGCAAGGTCGTAATGAGATACAACACTCGGATTGACGGGCCTGCAGTAAAACGTTATGAATACCAGGGAGTCTGAGGACAGATAATAGACCGCATTAGCTCACGGCCTTCAAACAGCAGCAACTGTGGCCTGCATAGTCTTTCACAAAAAATGTACATTTTAGTAACTTAGTTTTTAATTTCAGTCCAGGCATTGTCACACTGCAGAATCTCCATCCTGGTTATATATTTTTTTCTTTGGCTTGAGTCTTATGGAAAAACTATAAAAGCCTTTAGCTGCTCCTCCGCGGTTTCTGTCAGCCTGACTGACTCGGCATGGCAAAAGACACTGCCCTTCACCGGAAACCCAAATCTCCTGCCAGAACAAGAGCGCCTCTGTCACATGTAGATATTTGGATGTAAATGCAAAACATTTACAACACCCGCAAACGTCCGTAGGACACCACACGTGATATTTACTAAATTAAAATAATCCGCGGTAGCCTTTTCTTAACGTGAAGAGGCAACATCGCCTGAAAACTGAAACCATACAAATAGTGGAGCTAGTGACAATCCGTCAAGTGATGGCTGTGATAAATCTTATTTTGAAGGCTCTTAAAGGAAGTGGCTTCTCACTTCCGCCTCGAACTCTCCTGTGCCTCTCTCAAGTTGTGCTGGAAGTTGTTGCCTCTCTCAAGTTGTGCTGGAAGTTGTTGCCTCTGTGAAGTTGTTGCTTCTCTAAAGTTCGCGGATGAGCTGTTGAAGGGCTCGAGAGCAGATGAGCGGACAGACGGTCCCCGCGGACTTCTCGGGACACATGTTGGACCTGGACGAGGACGACGACCTGGAGGTTTTCAGCAAGGTAAGCGACGCTTCCTGGTTCCGAGCCTCCGGTACCGGCAGCCGGCCGCTGCACCGTCAACCCGTAGCGCGCGCGCGGTGGTCGCGGCGCGCACCGCGTAGCGCCGGTAGTCCGCGCGCAACGTCCCCGAGCGGGACGCCGAATGCCCCCCAATCAGCTGATGAGCGGACTGTCCATCAGGTTCCGTCCACTTTATGAATATGAACTCGGTAAAGACGAACTTGAGGCTCTTCCGTTACTTTACATTGAGGGATTCGCACATGACGTTTACATGATGGCTGCGTGGCCTTTGCTCCAATGCAGCTCGCTGTCAAAGATTGTAAATGTTCAAGGAGATCAATCACACCACCAAAAAACCTCTTTATTTTAATGTGTTCGCCAAATAACATTTATTGTCATTACAATCAAGAAGAAAAGTTCAAACATTTTCGATGAACACTCTCCACCAGTGACAGATGTAATGTCAGGATCCTGTCCATAGGGCACCTGACGTGTGTGTGTGTGTGTGTGTGTGTGTGTGTGTGTGTGTGTGTGTGTGTGTGTGTCAAACTCGCGGCCCGCGGGCCACATCCGGCCCGCATTGTGAGAAGTACAGAACCGTATCGATTCTCCCCCATCGTCCTGGGCCGTTGGATCTCATATGGTTATTATGGTCTGTGTGGGCAGCGTCTGAGTTTGACTCCCCTGCTGTAGTTGTTTGTGTTGTGTGTCTGCGTTGTGTTGTGTGTCTAATAAGCCTCTAGTGTTGCTTCAGGGAGACGCTTTGAAAGACTGCCGTCATATTTGCACGTCCTTGAAAACAAGCCTCAATTCATTTTTTTAAAATAAAGGAAAATACAACTCCTCAGAGATGCGCAGTCCTCCCACCACCCGGTAAACGGTGTTTAGTGAGCGGCTGAGGAGTAACGCTGGTTGACGCCGGCAATACGTTTGTGAGCGAATAGCAACCAGGTGTCTGTGGTGCCGATGAACAACAAGCAAAGAAGTGTGATCAAATAAATAAATAATGTTTGTTGCATTGGGGTCTCAGCAAGGTCGTCATGTGGGATTCAGCTGCTGGCTGCCTAACTGACCATTTGCTTACTGTATATTTAAATAGTTACTAGAATCCTAATAAGCAATATTTGAATCACTGATGCAGCAAATATTTTAACCGTAACGGATCTTGAAGTAACTTTTCTCTCACTTATTGTTCCCATGTGGAAAAGTGGTTGTCATCAAGAAGGCCAAATGGTCGCAAATGATTGCAAACGGTTTCCCTGGCAACTGTCCAAAGAATGTCAGGAAGTGGCGGCGACCTTGAATGTTTTTTTTCATGTTGCGTTACATGTCAGGGAGGAGTTACAGACACAACACCTCGAAGAGGCTTCAATCTGACAATCTAAGACCTTTCAAAGCGATTCATTAGCTGCTGTGTAGTTTACATCCGTACGCAGCTCCTCGGCGCCGCTATGGCTGGAACATGTCAACGGTTACCAAGGCAACCGAGCGGCTGCTGACGTGATGCTGAGCTGTTTGTTGTACAGGACGCGTTGTTCTGGCTTCCAGCGGTTGTTGGCTGTGGACGCGTTAGTCATACGTGTGACATGTATGAGCACTTCCAGCAGCCAGCGGGGCGCCCGGTGGTGGAGCTGGCGCGGTGCTGCAAATGTTTGGGTTGCACACAAAGTGAGAACTGCAGGTGCGATACTAGAATAACGCACTCCGAGGCTCCGTAGTCCAAACTGTATATTTGAAATGACTAAAGTGTTGACAGCCGTGCTTCATATGAGCCTGTTGGCGTGTGACTTTGCATGTGTGGTTGTTTTTTGGTGTGACGCAATGAGCCGTGACTGCTGACCTCAGCAGCTTCTCGGGTGTTGTGAAGGCAAACTGACCTGCAGTCAGTCCAGCTTTTTAAAATAATGGTGGTAAATAGACCGTACTTGATCACGCAAAGCTTTTTAACACGTTTTATTTATTCCAAAGTAAAATTGACTTCAGAAAGTGCACAAAGGGGTTGTAATAATAAAAATGACTCAGTCCTCTGGTGCTGCCATGCGCTGGTTGCAGGTGCCACGTGCACACAAACCAACTTATTTGCGGTTTGAAACTGCCGGGTGAGGAAGAAATATATAATAGTAGTGGAGACACTGATGATCGGCCTCCACCACCGGGCTGAACTCGCTCTCTGCACTCTCATTGGCTACAGTACTTCTTCATCCAGCAAATGGCCTGATGACAATTCCACATCTATTATTTTTTCTAATTCTATGAATCACTTTAAAAATACAGGAGTGGGAGCTGACGGTGGGATTGTCCTGCCGTCCCTGCGCAGTGAGCAGGACTCTCGACTGGAGACGTTGCTCCTCGGTATCCGTTGCTTTGGGTGATATTAAATGGGTATCAATGGTATTGTTTCCCCACACGCGGGCTCAGCAGGAGAGAGGATTGTCCTTCTACGCTGATAAACAGCTGGTCAACCGCAGTGCATGCTGGTCCGGTACCTGACTCCCTTAAATAACCAGTTTTACGCAACTAATTAGCAAATGACTACAAAGAATAAATAAACTAAACTGACTTTGAGCAGAAAAAAAGAGACGAATGCCTGATTTTACAACAAAGCACATCACACCCCCAGAACCCAAATCCAACACAAGGTTCCTACGATCTCTGTCACTTTGTTTTTGTAGCTTTTCTTCTGTTTCAGCTTTAAAAATGTTTTTGTAAAAAACGCATTTAGCAAATAAGGTCCTGACATCTTTGCATCTGGTCCCGCGTTGAGAGGACGTGGACATGAGCGTGCTGAGCAGCCAGCTCTGTCAGAGCGCTAACAACGTGACTCTCATTGGTCCAGAACCCGTCGCTGGCAGGGGGCGGTCCCATGCCCAACTCTCCCAGCTCCATGGTCAACCAGTACAGACTGGAGGAGGAGGAGGAGCAGCAGGAGGCCAACGCCAGAGACCTCTTCATCACCGTGGACGACCCAGAGAGCCACGTCACGGCCGTGGAGACCTTCGTCATGTACAGGGTGGCCACCAAGGTGGGCGGGCCTTCACTCACCCACAGACCCGGTTTTCTCGCAGCTTTTTAAGGACGAGAAAGGTTTTTTCCATAATAAGTTTGACTATAACAAAGTGCTGGTGTCATTGCATTGATAAGTACATCATGTCTTCTTACCTACTGCACAGTGATGATGATGATGATGTGTTGTGACACAATCTTCCTCCAGACCACGCGGAGCCAGTTCGACTCCAGTGAGTACGAGGTCCACCGGCGCTACCAGGACTTCCTGTGGCTCCGAAGCAAACTGGAAGAAAACCACCCGACGCTCATTGTCCATGTAGGTATCAGCACACCGGGCCAGCTGTTGTACACATCTGCAGCCGGAGACCTTTACTGTGAATCTCGCTTCCGCTGCCAGATGAGTCCCAAAGCACCCAGTGCCCCCTGCTCTTATTTCATTTCCATCTAGGATTCCAAAGGTTTTGCAACAAACATATTTATTTACATATATATATATATACATTTGACACACCTGTATAAACATATTGCCAACATGCAAAAACCTGCATGAACACAAATAATCCTTAACTGCTTAAACAAATACTCACACACCTGCATTCATTTCTAAAAACCCACATATTTACACACCTGCATAAACAATTAACATTCAATATATAACATTTAATATTCACGCATGTTCATTTTTAATCAATCAACTGTAGAAAAGGGAAACTTTTAATCTTCCTGATTAAAACCTTTACAAATACCCAGTGGGGTTGTAGAGACTCAATCTGTGCCTCAGGAGGATGCTCCTCCCATCGCGGGTCACCTGCACACACCTGGTGTGCAGGTGTAGATCAATGAAACGCCACTCGTACTGCCGCGGCCACTAGCCCCGCCTCCTTGTCTCGCTGCGTCCTCAGCCGCTGCCGGAGAAGTTTGTGATGAAGGGCATGGTGGAGCGCTTCAACAACGACTTCATCGAGACCAGGAGGAGAGCCCTGCAGCGCTTCCTCAGCAAGGTCTCCCTGCACCCCGTCCTGTCGCACAGCCACCACCTGGAGGTCTTCCTCACGGCGCAGGTCAGCTCGCACGCACGCAACTTCATTGTGAACTTTGGTGACCTCCGCATCGACGCGCCGTCTAATTGAAGCCCGGGTGTGTTGTCTCCCCCCCCCCCTCCCCCCCCGACAGGACCTGCTGCCGTACAAGAAGCAGGGCCCGGGCTTCCTGAGCCGCTTGGGGGAGACGGTGAGGGCCGTGGCCAGCTCGGTGCGAGGCCTGAAGAGCCGGCCGGAGGAGTTCAGCCTCATGAAGGAGTACGTGGAGGACTTCAGCATCAAGATCAGCTCCGTGGACAAAGTCACCCAGAGGATCATCAAGGAGCAGAGAGGTGCTCCACCACACGCACTCGCGCCCTCGCGCCCTCGCTGCAGACCGGGCCGCTGGCCGCTTGGAACAATAATCGCCCGGGTGTCGTCCGGTGACCGCTGGATCCACCCAGCTGGTTTGCATCTCAACGTCTCCTCTGTCTCCTGCCAGAGTACCTGGATGAGCTGAAGCAGTACAACCCCACCTATGCCCAGTGGGCGGAGTCTGAGGGGGAGCTGGCGGAGCCCCTGAACGGCGTGGCCAGCTGCGTGGAGCGGTGCAGCAAGGAAACGGACGAGCAGATCCAACACCTGTCCTCCGTCCTCGTCCCCGCCCTGCACGACTACGTCCTCTGCGCCGAGACCCTGAAGGTGAGCGCCGCTTTCATCAAATGGTCAAACACACCAGCCCAGCGCTGATCGGGTGGAGCTCTGGATGTTAGAAGCAGCGGGGAGGGGGGGGGGGGGGACACACACACGCCTCCTGGAGCTCACTCGCTGCTCCGTCTCCGGCAGGCTGTGATGAGGCGGAAGAGACAACATCCAGGCCCAGTTTGAAGCCAAGAACGAGGCGCTGGGCTCCAGGAGGACCGACCTCGAGACGGTGAGTAGGAACGCATCCGCACACACTGCGCCCCCCCCCCCCCCCCCCCCACCACCGCGCCATGTTTGTGTGTAATAAAGTGAACCCCCCCTCCGGGCCGCTGGTGCTGGGGGGGATTATGCACATATCCTCATCTCTGCAGCAAAATGACCGACGCAGAAATTCCCCACAAGAGCGCAGAGAAATAGATAAGTCATGTCTTCTATCCCCGTAGTCTATTTTTACATCTGGAGAGAAAAACAGGTCAACGCACCGCTCTTTTAACGCGCATAATATGGGGGTGAAAGCCCCCCCCCCCCCCCCCCACACACACACACACACACAAACTTGGCCCAGCTGACATCAAAAATCCTTCCTGTAAGGTTTTAATTTAAGAAGCTGGACTGAGACTTCCCCCCGCAGACTTCCTATTGTATCCCTTCTTTAATTAGGGGGGGGGGGGGGGCGCTGTTATCAGAGTCATTTTGCCTTTAACACATCTGCACCGAGGGGGGGATGTTCGACAGCGATGCCCCCATGGAACGCGCTCTTCAGGGGGGCTGAAGGCAGATTGAGAGGGAGTGTGGCAGCATGTGATTCCGGAGTCTTTTATTGTGAAAATACCTTCAACACGTGGCTGCATGCCGACACGCTATGAGATGCTATGAGCTCCGTGTTTTAAAGGTTCATGATGCAAAAATCTAATAAAATACTTTTCATATTCTATTAGTAAAGTTTGGCACATCCAATGAATGTTGATTCTATGGTGACTAGAAGGCGTCATTTAGTGTGTGTGTGTGTGTGTGTGTCACACGGCCAGCAGGGGGCAGTGCTGCTCTACAATAGATGTGCCAGATGTTTTCACACGTGTTCCACCAGTTGAACAAAAGTTATTTGTATAACTTTTAGATGAACAATGTTCATTCATGCAATGAACAATTGCATGAATTCAGAATGAATTGGATCGGTTTCATTCCCACAAATGTGTTATTATGGTTTTATTTAGTTTCTGTTGTCCGTAAATGCTGATTAAATGAAGGAAACATCAATGAACGTGTGTGTGCAGTTTACATTACCCAGATTATATAGAGTACATCATTTCCAAACACCTTACAATCTGTTCATATGCAACTTATTCATTGCAGAGAGCCTGAAACAGCGTTTCATAAGCGCTTATAAGCAGAGTGAAACATCTTCTTCTACTACTCGTATCACGGTAGAACTCCCCAACCTGGGCCCCCACTGGGCTGTGTGAAAACAGCTGGAATGTCCTTAAACTCACTCTTAGTTTGACCAGCGAGCCGCTCGGTTGGAATCAATGTCTTCTGTCCATTCGGAGGTTCTGTCGTCTTGCTGCAGACGTTTGAGGGACAGCTTGTCTGCTGTGTGTCCCCCGGCAGCTGCAGGACGAGGTGGACAGTCTGGCCGACCGCGTGGAGCTGGCCAACAACGCCTTGAAGGGAGACTGGACCCGCTGGCAGGACGGCATGAGAGCTGACCTCAAATCCGCCTTCCTGTCCACCGCCGAGAAGAACGTGGAGTACTACGAGCAGGTGAGCAGGAGACGGAACGGGGGGGAGTAATGTGGGAGAGACATGTGATATCCAGAGTACGGAGCAGGCAGCCCAGCAGAGAGGGGAGGGGGGGGGGGGGGGGGGGGGGGGGAGAAAATTGGGGAAAAACATGTGGTATTTCCAGAGATCGGGACAGCGCCCCACACAAAAAAAGGGGGGGGGGACCTTCGCGCCCCGTAAAACCAGGAATGTTCTTGTGTTTGGGTCCCGGGGGGCCGAGCTGTCCCAGCGGAGGGGGGGGGGGGGGCAGCGCTTCACCTTCTCTTCCTCCTCCAGCAGGCGGCCTGGAGAAACGGGTGACCTTGCACTTCCCTCGCGTAGGGCTTTTATTTTGTGCATCTTTCTATGCCGGCTTTGTAGCATCCGACCTGAGGGAGGCGCTAGAGAACCACACGCTCAATGTGCTCCGGACGTAATGAGGGAAGTGTAAAGGAAGCGCATGTAGGAGGGCTTCACAAAGCCGGCGGGTTCCTGTTTATGCACTGAAGAGGACTCACTAACTATTGTTTACCGGTGTAGGAGCGTGGAAACAAACAAACAAACAAACAGCCACGTATTCATTTTGGATCCAACGTCACACTGTTGATTTCCATCCAATAACAAGTTAATACAAATGTAACCGTCATAATAAACACATTGAATATCAAATATGCGTTTAAAAGTAAAGAGAAAGTGCAAATAAAGCATTAAAGTCTTTGCAGGAGACGAGCGCGTTGATGTTCAGTGTCCAGACTCCTTCATCAGCAGGTGCACGAGCCTCTGAAGGACGACCCTGTGCTCGGTACTAAAAGAGAAAGACGCTGTAATTATCACGTTGTAGACTTTAGTATCATAGGTTTATTATGCTAAAGACAGGCTACAATAATTCACCCATTTACTGCCTTAGAGAGACCTGAAGCAGCGTTACTGAGCAGCCTCCACGGGGCGTGAGCGTGAACCTTAAGCTAACAAGGCCAGCGTTACTTTAGTCAGCATGACTTGCCCATGAGGGGAAGACGTGGAGGCTCCAGCACCTTTAAATGTCTTTTATTATTATTTATGTAATATACGACGCGGCGACGATTTTCATAATCGACATCGACTGATCGTTGCAGCTCTACTGACCGGTGCTTCTTTGATGGGAGGTTTTTATGGGGAGACCGTCCTCTGTCCCCTGAAACACACACAGTGGTCTGCGGCGTCTTTCCACAGCCTGTGTGTGTTTTACACCCTTCGCTCGCACCAGTTTTAATTACCAGCCCAAATACCTGCTGCTTGCAGGTCCTCAGAGGATTTATTCCATCTGGATGATACCAAACATATGCAGAGGTTTAGCATATGAAAAGCAGCAACTCCTGTGTGTGTGTGTGTGTGTGTGTGTGTGTGTGTGTGTGTGTGTGTGTGTGTGTGTGTGTGTGTGTGTGTGTGTGTGCATTTCCTATGACAGCGTGCACTTTGTCAGTTTAGAGCCTGAGGTGGTGACAATAGTCCACTCTAGTCCTCTAAGGTTTACATGATGTGAGATCCCTGTTAGCAGTCATTGATGCGTCCGTGGTGTTAAGGTCTGTAGAGTACAGCAGCTGTTTCCTCTGCAGAACAGGTTCGGTCAGATGAGTCAAATGTCTGTGCAGGGACACTAATATATATATATATATATATATATATATATATATATATATATAGACGGATGAATTGTCTGAGGGGCGCCTGCAGTGCTGGTCGCCGATATGAAGTATTTAGTAGTTTAATAAGATGTGAGCCGGAGCCCTCGAGGTGTCCAGTTACCAAAGAGCCGTGAACGTGTCCACACCCACACGTGAAACGGATGCTCTTCCTGCCCAGATGAGGCCTCATGAAGACGAAGGCTGCATGAAGCGGACGGGACCCCACTGAACGAGGTTCCCTCCGCTTGAAGCAGATTCCACCCTCTTATTCTGCGGAGGTCCCACAGCACACAGCAGGCCTGGAACCAGAGGCTGAGCTGCTCTCTGCTGCCCGGGTGCAGGTGTCTCCACGGGGCCTGTGGGTGATCAGAGCGTGAGGGTCTCGCAGGGCACCGGGGGGGGCGGGGGGGGGTTGAAGGCGCCTGTCCAGACCAGGAGATACAGAGGGAGGATGGAAGTAGATGGGTGATTAAGGACAGACCTTGTGATTTCATCCTGGAGGCTGACGGGTGAGTAATGTCGAGCGGAGCCGTTGGCCTGATTCGCTGCTTGAGATTCATTTCTTTGTCAAATGAATCCACCGAATCATCCCGACGTTACTGGACGACTCTGAAATGATTATTATGTCAACAGAGGACTTTGGTCATGACATCATGAGGGCTGTCGATGTGTCTCACCCACTAAGTGGTCCCTGTACTGTGTGAGCTGCATGGACGAGACAAACCCCCCCTCACTGTTCTCCACATTCCATTTCCTTTTTCCCTCTTACCTTTTCCAGCTCAGTGAACAAGACGCGCTTGAAAAGCTCATTCTATTCCATGTTTGGTGTTCGGAGGGGCGACGCGTGTCTTGTATCACATTTGCCTTTTCCCTCCTCATCCTTTGACACTGTTTCTCTTTGCCGGGTTTAAGCTCCCTTTCACATTAAATGGAATAACCTTAAAGACGCTCGGATCATAGTTTCAGATATTAATAATCACAACATCCTTAACAGCCTTTTATCATTGGGGAATCCGTAACTTGACCCTCCTGGTCCATCAGCCTGGCTGCTAGCTTAGCTTAGCTTAGCGTTGATGTAGTATCTCGCTCGTCCAGGCTGCTCTGCTCGCTTCTCTCCTTGTGTCCGCGAGTTGAACCCTGTTATCTTGAGGATGTTTGGCAGCTTAGTGGCTGATCTCCCGTTATTGGGGTTATTTACAAACCAAACGAGGAGCTCGAGAATTAAGCTGTCGTCCTTATTGCACCCCCCCCCCCCCCTCACAGTAAAGTCCTACATGGACGGGTCGCCCTGACAACGACTGACCCCATTGTTCAATTCTCAGCAGCTTTGCCCAAAGCATCACTAACGTACCCTCCACATGAGTTATGGTCTGTGAACCGGATGCAGTTTGTCTTCATCTGGACGAGCCTGTGATGAAAAGCATCAATCTGCAGCGTCAAGCACTGAATCCGCCGCCTGCCATCATGGAGGACGGAGTCGTTTAGGTGAACAGACTAGAAGAATAATAATCTCTAGTAATAGTAATAGTAATCCCCTTCATTTAGGAATAACGACCATCTGCTGCTGTCATGTATTCATATGCTGTGAAACTGCATGTGCTCTGATCCATGCTGGGATCCGTTTGTAGCAGAGGACCAATATTTCTGTTTCATTCAAACATCTGCATGCAGTCGTTCCTCGTAACTAGCTCACCTTCGACGGAGCGCTTGTCACGCATCCAATTCAAACATGAATCCAGATCAAGCAGCACGTATTATTTAAGTGTGTACGTCAGCACACAGAATGGGATCAAACTATTCCCTGGTTTGCTGATGCAGTGATCATCACATGCAGCTTTGTGCTGCGCCTCCAGCCTGAATAGAGGAGGCTGAGCATCGTCAGTGTTGCCACGGTTACCTCATAGCAACAGGGACTGCTTTGGGGGAGCGGGGACTTGTGTCAATACATGCTTACTTATCAGGATTATTTTTACTCTTGGTGAAATATTTACTAGTTGTTGTAGGCGAGCTTAGTAAGTATTTGTGTTTTAAAGGAAGCTGGCAGCAGCTGTGCTCCTGTATTGCAGAACGTGCAACTAGATGATCCCCCACTAATCATTGCACACAAAGTGACAGATTTTCCCCCAATGGTGCTTCCACAAACATGTTAATGTATCCTCACACACACACACACACGATGGTTCTCTGTGTGTCAGTGAAATAACAAACTAACTTTTTATTCAATAAATTGTCGAGGAAGGTAGAGAAGGACAGGAGAGCGAGGAAGAGTTAAGTTACTCTCAGAATTATGTTTTGTTGCATAATTCTGAGAGTAACTTAACAGGTTTTGGACAATGTGTGAAATCGTTTCATCTGAAAACAAGGTTGTTTCATCTCATCATGTTGTGCTGAATCATCCACAAAGCCCGTAGTCCAAATGAAGAGAAACTCTTTATGACTCCTTTTGACCTTGAAAAAAGGTAGTGCCAATCAGACCCTCCCCCCCCCTTCTGTTTCTACCTTTCACAATAAAAGCCTGTCTGACTGTTTACCGGAGAACTCAAACTACCTTTAAGAATTTGTTTGCTTAAAGAAAAGTTAATAAAAACGTACCGTAGTTTTGCCTAAGCTACAGACCAGGACCCGTGACCCTGGTACGCTGGTCTCTGCCTGTGTGACTCTAAAGGAACCGGTTTCAACGCTCATCATGGTGCACTCGCCCCCCCTGTCCTGTGTCTTGTCTTCCAGTGCCTGGCCGTGTGGGAGTCCTTCCTCTTGTCTCAGAGAGTGGAACCCGGGGAGCAGAGGGACGGGGAGGACGCCTCCTGAGATGTGGAGAGGATGCAACCAAAACCTCCAAACCCAGGCCCTGTAGTGATGGCCCCCCTCCCCCCTCAGACGTGCATTATGTTTGAAACAAGCTCTCTCGCTCGCTCTCCTTTTCTTTCTGGCCAAAGAAGTAAATCCCAGCCCGCATTCCAGTGATGATTGTGCTTCACTTAAACCAACACGGCGATCAATAGGTCGCCATGCTGCCGTTTACAGCCGACTAGGCGCGCTGCCAAAAGCCAAAAGAAGGCTGCTGCTTCTTCTGGCTCCTCTCTGCTGCTTCGTTGTTGTAGATACAGAACTGTCCTCGACACACAGACACTACAACGTTTCCGCCAACCTGTCGGGTGCGCCTCTTCCAAGGATGCTGCTTGGTGACCAAAACTAATGACGCTTCTAGGTCTCCCTCCCCCAACTGTGTAATCGCCAAAGTGAGAGCGATCAACTCTGAAGTAATGTCACTAATATGTATGCAATCAAAACCGTAGATGGAGAAATCTAAAAGAAAATTGTCTTTTACAAATTAAACCTACTCAACATGTTATAAACTCCTTATATCACTGCTTGTTTGTTTCCTTGCAGGATCAGAGTGCTTGATATTCTTAAAGCTTAGTTTTAAGTAGTACAATATATATATATAATATATATATATATATATAATATATATATATATATATATATATATATATAATCATTGTCATAACGCATTGAAATGTGAGTTATCCCAGCGATCATTGGGTGCTCTTGAGGGGAACAACAGCCATTTTTAATACATTGATCACCGTCCGCAGCGTCTTCAAACCCACAAACAGAAACGCTCAGGACAAACTACAGAGTTCACCGTCCAGCGTGGGAGGCCAAGTTAACGCAGCGACGTCCTAAGGCTCACTGACGCCTGTGGTTTGGTCACAGATGATGGACCAGCATCTTCACCGCTTGGAAGGCAGCTATGCTCACCACTATACCACCATCGCTTGCTTATGTTCAAACATTGGAAGGGAAAAAAGAGACCTACCTAAAAAACAGACCAATTTGAAATTGCGCAGGGAGACCCCAATGGATTCTAGTCTATCGCCCTGACCACTCCCCCACGACAACCTTCGAGTTCAGGTTCAGGTTCATGGCTCCCTGGCAAAACAGCAGTCGTCATCGATGGAGGTTTTGAGCCCTCATGAAGACAAGTTCGCTGCAGCCAAAGAGGCTCGTCAATCGATTCAACGGCAATGGTACATTTTTTGGCATCAGCCTCCAGCCTAAATACGCGAATGAAACACCTACTTGGAATGCAGCTATGCGCGCAAAAGAGTCATCACTGGAATTGCGCAGGGAGACCCCAATTCATTTCTAGAATTACAACAAAAGATTGGGTAAAAGGTGTTGTCTCGGATTTCTAGTCCATCACCTTAACCACTCGGCCACGACAACTTTCAACCCCCCAAACGGCGAGAAAATACAAGGCAACCCATGACGGAACACAAACTGTAAAATCAATTCTTTTCATATTGATATCATACATATAAGTTCTTCATCTACATATTTTGAAGCAGTATGGATGATGTGCTCAATACTGCTGTACTGTAAGCAGATTCTAGTGCAGTATAAGTACCTTCAATCAGCAGTCAGAAGTTCCCTAAAATGACATCTCTGGTAATATTTACAGCCAAATGATGCAGCGTTTTAAATGTTCTCACCTCCAGGAATGTTGGGAAGACACCACGTCCAGATGGTCCTGTGTCCCCTATGCTGAAGTAGATAGGAAAGGTGCTGTGATCCCTCCTTCCTTATGTGTCTAAGTCCATTTCTTAACACAACTGCCATGTGGAGACTTCTCAGTCATTTTATAGCTTTAGTGAAGCGTATTCTATAGGAACGATATATATATATATATATACATACACACACACAAAATGTGTATATACAATAGTTTCTATGGAATACGTTTTACTATTGTTTGATTAAACCATCTGCTTTCTTCCCCGGTGTCTAAGGTCCACCTACAAGGCACTTGCTGGTGAGGCACCGTTGTATCTTAAAGAGCTTGTAACACCTTATTGCCCTACAAGGCAGCTGCGCTCCATAGATGCTGGGTTACTTGTTGTTCCTATGGTTTTAAAAAGTAGGCTGGGGGCCAGAGCCTTCAGTCATCAAGCTCCTCTTTTATGGAACCAGCTTCCACTTTCAGTCCGGGGGGCAGATTAGGTCAGCTCTTTTAAAGTAAAACTTAAAACTTTCCTCTTTGATTCTGCCTATAGTTAGGGCTGGCTCAGGTTAGCCCGGACCAGCCCTTAGTTAAGCCTATTGCTATATTGCTATAGGCTTAGACTGCCCGGGGACTTCTTAGGACACACGGAGCTCCTCTCTCTCTCTTTCTCTCCCTCTTTATGTTAATTCACATTTCATTAATAATTCACATCTCAATGCACATCCTTATTTCTCTTCTTTTATCTTCCCCGAGTATTTGTGCTTCACCTACTCACAGGTTTCTATGGATGGTGTTTTTTGCTGCAGTGGCCCTTGAAGGTATTGTCCATCTTTTACCTTGTTCATTGTGTACAGACACATCCATTGCATTCAGAAGGATTCTTCCTCACTAAGGTTTCTTCCTTTTTGGTCCCCATCAAAGGGCTTTTTGTATTTTGGGGCGTTTTCTTGTTCCAGTATGAGGGTTCCGTGACAGAATGTGTAGACTGACGCCCTCCGAAACTAATTTATGATTTTATGCCGTACAAAATAAAATAAAATGAATTGAATTGAATATACATGGTCTTTAAAGTGTACTTTCAGATTCCTGAAAGCGGCCTGAACCATAAATTGATAATAGGTGACAATCCCAGCTGCCTCGGAAAAAACAGGGCTGAGCCAAGAGAGCTTTCCCCATGAAAGGACTTTGCATGCTAAAACAAAGTAGGTCACCCTACACACTTAATTACATGAAATATTCACTATGGTACTCTAAATAAAGCAGTGCCTTGAAAATCAGTGTTGCTACATTTACACTGATCAGAGTGCTGCCGTGTGTTCACTGGCCTGCTGGAGGTGTCAATCATTTTCTTTAGGTAGAGTTAAATTGTTTGAAATGTAAAGGCACAGTCTTGTGATTTATGTCGTGAAGTCATTGCTTACCCTAAACAAAGAACGTATCTTATCCCGCTGATAAGAGCTCCACTGTCGTTGAGCCTCTGCTGCAACAGGTTCTCGCATTAGTATGAACGCGGTTTATTTAGGATCAATCCCTCTAGTATCCCACTGTGTACCCTATTTCTCTGTTGAGTAACGTCTCAGCTCTTGTAGGAATATTCAGGGATTCACTCGTTATTAGAGCAAAGAAATGGAGTCGTACAGTGTTTCAATCCCTCCTAAAACATGTGTATTTAAACTCAAACTCTGGCTTTATTATGTTCAAATTGTAGTGCAGCCCTGACTCTGGTGGAAAACCTTGTACCTGCTTTGGGTGGGTCTGTTCGTGCTGTAATAAAGAGTATTGTTTGTATGGTTATTGTCTGTGAGAAAAGGTTCCATCCTGGCAGAAAGGACACAAACCGTCCCAGTGAAGAGGACGCCAGTGGACGGGAAATGTGCTGTCTTCCTACAGAAGTAGGTCAATGGACATGTTGCAGACATTTTGATATCAGACTGAAGGAACAATAACTGCCACACGCAGACACACACACACACACACACACACACACACACACACACACACACACACAACACAAAGGTGGATTCTTTCAATTCAAATTTATTGTAGATGGAACGAGGCATTCTAGGACTGTGCGGCAGCACCGATGGGCCTCTTTGGGGGCCTCCTTGGGGGCTTCTTTGGGCGTGTGGTTCTCCATGTGTGTCAATGTGAACATGCCTGCATGTCTGTGCGACACTCACAGTGATAACACATTTAACCGCTGCCAATCTGCCACACAGGCGCTGCAGTACGGGATCAAACAATCAGACCCTCACAGGGGGGCAAACTATTGTCTCATTACATGTGTTATAATTCAATCGAGTTGACCTTGGTGGTCTAATATCCCAATAACTAATTCACCTCAAAAGGTTTTACAATCTCTATGACAGAAGTTAAGGACGAAGAAAAAGCAATGATGATAAATGAAATATAATTCTACAATGATATTATAATGCACCGTGTGCTGAGGAAGTCAAGCAGCACAGCGGCCCCCCCAGGCCCTCTGAGTCATGTTAACTTGTGCAGCCATCTTGTCCTCTGAACCCACGTGTGTGTTTAAAAACAAAAAAAAAAAAGAATCATCCTATATTTCTGCAATATCTATTCTATTGTTGACGTGATGCCAGCCCCGTTCCCCACGCAGCGAGCGGCCGGCCGGCGGCGATCCGCAGACGTAATGCGACATAATGGCCTCCGCCCACTGCTGAGGCTGCACGCTGGGCGCTTCAGTGCCCCCCCCTGACCCCGTCCCAGAGGAGGATGCCCGTGTGTTGGTGGAGTCCAGCAGCTCAGCGCAGCGCGACTGAAAGGAGGTGCGGCCTCCATTTTATTCTAAGAACATATCGTCGTAATATCTTTCAATTCAATTCAACTTGACCCCAGAGGGCTCTACTAATGGTTCACATGCGACGTCTTCGCTCCGGTTAGAAAAGTGGAAGGAGACAAATAACAACTAAAACAACCAACCTCAGTCTAAGTCTTTGCTATTTATGGGTTTGTCTCACAGCTTCGTCTTACTATCACACTGTTCAAACTGAACCAGAAGTTCTAACTCATCTGACTCATCGAACTCAAAAGAATACCGCGAAGACCTGGACGAATCCATTTGGGCCTTTTAGGCCTCTTGGGTGGCTGAAGTGCATCTGGATGCCGGGCTGCGTGGTGCTGAGCTCTGGGTCGGTACTCCGGGCCGATACCAGCTGTGTGTGGGTTTAACCAATGCACGTGCACACGGTGGCGCGCAGCACACAGCGGAGCCTTTAATAACCGCACGTGTGGCTTTAGAGCGCTCAGCTTTGTGTGTCTGTAAACGTTTCGAGTTTAGATCCATCCATCCATCCATTTTCAACCGCTTATCTGGTCGCGGGGGCAACAGCTCCAGCAGGGGACCCCAAACTTCCCTTTCCCGGGCCACATCTACCAGCTCTGACTGGGGGATCCCAAGGCGTTCCCAGGCCAGTGCAGAGATATAATCTCTCCACCTTGTCCTGGGTCTTCCCCGGGGCCTCTTCCCAGCTGGCCGTGCCTGAAACACCTCCCTAGGGAGGCGCCCAGGGGGCATCCTCACCAGATGCCCAAACCACCTCAACTGGCTCCTTTTGACGCAAAGGAGCAGCGGCTCTACTCCGAGCTCCTCGCGAATGGCTGAGCTTCTCACCCTATCCCTAAGGGAGACGCCAGCCTCTCTCCTAAGGAAACCCATTTCGGCCGCTTGTACCCGTGACCTAGTTCTTTCGGTCATGACCCATCCATGAACCGAGTTTAGATGAAGGTCTAAATAAACAAATACATATTTTATGATTTTAAAATGTCACTGTTGTACTGGTTTACTGTTTATAATTGACTTGATATGATTACACAGTTTAAATAGTACGTTGCACAGAGGTACAGAAGAAGAAGAATTGCATTCTTGCTGTGAAGAAATGAATGTATTGAACTTGCTCTTCAGGAGGAAAGAACACAACAGTGAAGCTGAACAGCGGAACGTTGATTGATTTTTTTCTACTAATGAGGCCATTTTTCTGTTTGCATATTAAAAGCGCACAGATGGTTTGTGTTTGCAGTGGGTTTCATTGTGTGCCAGGGTTCATCTTTGTGTTTGGCACTCAAGCTGTTGACTAGGAGCTCGGCAGAACGAGTCTTTGGGGTTTTATCTGCAGGTAGAAGTTCGTCCTTCTGATGGATTTATTCTTCCTTCCACCGGTGGATTTCTGCTGCTGCTGCTTTTAAAGAGAAGAGAGAATTACTTTGATTGTGAGGCTATTGTTCATCTTTTAGATGCAAAATACGTTTTCATTTATTTCCATGAAACATGTTAATCACACTAGTGGAGTCTGAGTTGTACACTGGTAACATTCAAATCTGTTGGTGTTTTCAAAAGGCGACAACGATGCAAATGCTGGCAAATTAAACAGGAATCTTCCAGAAAGCAACCAAGTGATGGAGTCCCAACCTTCTCTTTATTGGACAAACACTTTTAGAATGATACAAATATTCGTGGTCTTATTTTCTCTCATGTGGACTTGTGACTGTGTAGTGTAGTGCACGCATGTGCTGGCAGCTTTGATCTTCTCTTTTCATTATGAGAACGAGCATTTTAAAAGAACACAGATCACCAAAGGTGTTACAGGAGGGAAGAACCAAAATGCAAATGAATGAATAGAAAATGAAGTTAGTTCTTCCTTGTAAAGTGTACTAATGTAAAACTAATGTAAAGTGTAGATGGATCGTTAGCACACAATCTGACACTTGTTTAGCTGATTTTGTTGCAACTTTACATTGTGACTAATTCTAATGAGCTTTGTTGTCTGCATCATGGAGCCAACTAGTGGAAGCATCCTTCTTAGTAGTGTTTGCACATGGTGCGGTAGTCGTGTCAATTTAGCTTTTGATTTTAACAAATTCATTTCATTTTGACGCAGCAAAGAATTGGAACATATTGGATTGTGGTAATAAAAATAAGCAGCATGAGTAATGTGTGCGCATGCCTCATGGCTAACCTGCCTCCAAAGACTGTCCGTCAGACTCCGACTACTTCAAGTCCAATTTTCTACTTAAGAGTAAAACATCGGGCTCCAGATCGCTTTGTGCTCACGTAGATCTGCAAGCTTACACAATGTGGAGAGAGAGAGAGGAGAAGACCCTCCCGGTGGACCCTCCACCAAAACACTGTGTGGACAGATCGCACTGACACGTGTTACAAACTCAGGATTTAATAAACAATTACAATAGCTTTTCTTAACAATACACTACGTACTTTTAATATTCTACTGGCTGTGATATAATATAATAATATTTTCATGGCACAGGTTTTCTTTGACATTCTATTACTGGTGGTGTTACATTGCTCATGTAAAAGTTTGAGGTGATTCTCAAAACAATGAAGCAAAGTAAAGTATGCCATGAAAATACCTTAACAAAAGGTGTAGTATTTCATAAAAACGTAACGCATATCATACAAATTCCATAAATGAGATATTATGGTTTGTGTGGCATAAGACTTTCTACCGCGTGTACATTTATAGGATGACAAACAGGAGGCAGAACGATCCAGAGAGAAGATGTGGATGATCGATCCAATCTAGCCCAGATATTATTCACGAGCCTGGACGATGGGCAATCACAAAAAACGGCAGAATAGAAAATTCATACTAAAAATCAATATGGCCGACATCCGGTATGGCGTGGATCCTAAGTCTCTACGGGACACATCAGCCCATCATCTTCCAAACATCTAGGTCACACTTCCACGTTTAAATGGGCGCTATCGAGGCAAATCTTCCCATCAAAGCCCAAATTCCATTTTAAATATTGATTTCCATCAGATATCACACAAAGATGAGTTTTTGATTCAGAGAAAAATCTGCTATCTTTCCATGGCGGACAACGAGTTACCACGACAACAGCGTTAAACAAAAACTCACAATATCCATGATAAAGTATCATCAATGTCTCAAGGTGCAGTACAATCGATCAGGTCAATCGGCCAGGAGGAGTACATCAAAGTATAAAACAGCAGGTGGCGCTACAACTTAAAAACGCGTAGCATCATGTAAACTGGAATTACAACTCTCTATCATAGCGTCATGGACTGTATGTCCAAGAATGTCCAATGTCAAAGAAATGTCATTAAAAGGTCCTTGTATTGTATTTTAGGTAAATATTCTAGTATAACATGTCGTTAAATAAAATTGTAATATTTGAAATAGTAATGGTACGATATTTGAGACATCATATTTTATTTTGTTTTGTATGACAATATGATGTATGAATTTGTTGAGGTGTGATAATTGCTCGTTCAGTTGAGTGTCCAACTGCCACAAGCCGTGATGCACTCAGTGGTCTGACATGCACGTACTCACATTCCTCATGGAATCCAGTTAACACCATGAAAAGACCCATGAGGATCTTTCACAGACCCGTGGATACGTGTTACCACTTTGTTTGTTATTTCAGTTTGTGTTGTTCCTGCCTCTAAATCAGCGTGTTACCCAGAAGCTTCACACTTACACTTTACTGTTAAAATTCTATATTTCATTGAAATCCGTTCTGTGTCACTTTGCTCTCTGACTGCCTGATCGGGCCGCGATGGAATCCAAAGAGCAGCCGGGACTTTGGGACTTGACAGGGTTGGCACTGCGACCTGGTCGTAATTTATTCATTGGCTTAGGTTCATCACCAGTTTACTCTGAACAAACCTTTGAGCCCTGCAGGCTGTTCCTTGACTCGTGAAAACCAACAAACACCGATCATTCAATAATTACGACTTCATGGCCAAACTGAAACAAGTGGGCCGGTGTGTGCACGTACACTATCACAGCTTCCAGTACCGCTGTTGGCAGACAGCGGCATCGAAGTGTACTCTCCGAGTCATTAACTCCACAAAGACGGCCTTTTCTCCGGGTGAATGATCCACCTAATCTGCTGCGCTGGATGTGCAACGCAGTGAAGCAGCGATCCAGAACTCGTGCATTTCACTCTATATGAATTCATTATTTTTCTTCCGCCCTCTTTCCCGCTCTGATCTCCTCAAACACCGGCGATAAGGAATTTCACACACGCTCCTTGCTGAGTCGGGATCCCGCATCTGAAATGTGGATGTGTGGAATTAGGGATTAGGGTGGTGTGGCGGCCATGCTGGCGCTGCCGTATGGGGAGAGATGAGGAGGCGGCCGGGCTGCGTTCCTGCCTGCCAGCCTCTCCTAGAGATACGGCCTCTGTCAAACCCGAGCACATCCCCAAGTACGCCCCCGCATCTCTCAGTGAGCTCAGGCCCACCTTCTCTGGCAGAACGCAGCAGGTATGCACTTCCACCAAGAAGTGCCTCAGTACCTGTGCATGTGCATGCAGATAAGGACGTTGATGAGCAGGCAGTACTCCACAAAACACATGGGTCATTTCCAGTTTGACAGAGATCCTCAGCTTTGACCAAAATAGATCCCCGAACTCCACCAGCTGCGGATCGCCCAGCGATATTTAACTGGTTAAAGGACATCTGCAGGCTCTGCTGTCCTTCAGAACATATTTAAAGCAAGAAAGAGCCTAAAAGGTCAAGATTTTACAAATCCCAACAGCTCTCTTCCCCACAGCAATACTGTGTTTGGAGTTTCAACACGGAGGACAGCTGGATGAACGTTGGATGAATGAGTTGGATGTGTGAGGGTTAACGCTGGCACACTTTGGCAGATTTTAGTTTATGTGTGTTTCAGTATCTTGAAAGTTTACGTGACGGATATTTACAAGCCCAAAACTGTTAATTGCCATAGCTCTGCTTTAACTTCTAATGACATGTACAGTATCTTGTTTCCCAGTAATTTTACAGTCATCTACAGTTAGAGCTCTATATTCCTGTATTCCCTGTTTTGGAGGGAATATTTAAACATGCAGTATCCCAACACATTGAAGGCTAATCTGGAGACGCACTTCTGACGACTCAGCAAAAAGGTCAGTTGTGTCTTCGTCTTCAGCAGTGTTCTGGTTATTGAGCCACCTCGGAACATTGAGGACACTATTTTCTACCTTTCAGTGATTAACAGGTGCAGTTGTTTGCAATTCCGCTCACTCAAAATATTAGTTCTTTCAGAGGTCGTTGGTGGAAACGTTTGCCCCCTGGAGAACAAATGGGGACACTTCCTTGGGATTTCATTCTTTGTACGTCAGGAAAGTGTCCAAATGGGGCAATGCAAAATGTGACCACCACATTGAGACTAAGGACCCCATACGTGTACAGATATTTTGACTGCCAGTGTGGAAATTTCCTTAGAAACAAGTCATTTTAGTCCAAACCGGTAAACAGTTGAAGTAGAAACCGACAATTGATGCCATCACACAATATGTGTAATTCCCAAGCAGACAACATATTGTGTTGTCTAATTTGGTCAAATTATCTCTTATTGTGTCTGGATTCAGACATAAGTGTCCGCTGAATGAACGTAGTTCAGTAAAGTGCAGATCCAACATCTTTTAATCGAAGGAGTGAGACAACTTTTCCAGGTAAATGTTAAATCCCTTTCAATGTTTTATTTTTTTTTATTCAAAGACTGTCAATTCATTTTTTTCTACAGTGTAAAAGGTCACAATTTGAACTTAAGTTGAAAACAAGGGAAATTGAAAAAGAAATGCGATTAATATGAAAACATGTAATAGAAGAACGACATCCATACAGTATGTTCCAGTAAGCAAAGATATCACACGACTGTGTGAGAGAAAAAGATAAAACCACAAGTTTAGAAAAGGTATCACGTATGTCGCAAAACAAGCTCAGTCGAGGAAGAATATGGACTACAGAGCAGGGTCAGCAACCAAAATATCAACATAATACTATCAAAAAAAATATAGAAAAACTGTAACCCTGAACATTTACATGAAATATACATAATTTGAGTAAAATCACATTAAGAAGGAAAAACAGTTATCAGAGGAATAAAGGGGACATTTATGCTTTGAACACTCACACAGTGCAGTCATAAGAAAATAGAAGTGAATGACAACATAGAATAAGACCAAAAGGAGATACATATAATAACAATATATAGCCTGCATATATATATATATATATATATATATATATATATATATATATATATATATATATATATACATATATATATATATATATATATATATATATAGTTCATTATATCTGTTCTCTTCTTAATTGTTGAAGCTCTTGAGGTGCACATATGAGCAGATCAAATATATATATTTATTATTCTGAGATGTTTTTGAGCAGCAACAGAGGTGGCCCTTCCGTTAGCAATGACTTACAGCCAGATTTAAGGTGCTACTTGTTGCATGTTCCTGACGGGGGTCTTTATCACGAGAGCGTCAGTGATTTTTACAAAAATAGACATTTCAATGGGCCACATAATTGTACCTTCACTGCGTTTCTCCACTGCTTCTCGACAGGAAAGAAGCCTAACGTGTTATTGCTACAAAGAAGAATGAGGGACGGGACTTTGATACAATATAAAGTACGAACGCGTCCAGGAGGTCAGTCAATGGACGGGACATCGATCGATTGAAGAACCAGTTAGAGATTCATGAATCCATTTTTGACCAAAAACAGGGAGGGGGGGGGGATCCAAACAATATTCAAACATTCTCAAATATATATATATATACTGTGTCTGTTATATAATATATAAATAGAATCGCAGAGCACAATTGAAACAAACTATCATTCCTTGAATCCACTGGGGGAGTTTTTATCTTCTATTTTTGTTACGCACTGCCACATAAATGTGTTTGTTTGTTGAAATGTGCAGAATAACACGGGACTATTCAAGCGTCTCTGCAGGTCCAGTACAGAGACAACTACATCATAGGAGAGAGAAGTCCACATTGAGACCACTCTACAGCTCCGGGATGCACCACGGTGTCCTGTGCTGGACATAAGTCGCAAATGTGACTATGGACAATATTCAAATGAGTGCGAATACAGATGCCTCAGCTGTAAGCTCATTTCATACTGTGCTGCTGCAACACCTAGACAGAACTGTTCATGTGAATGTGAGAAGGACACCAACATGTTCCATTAAATCTCCCAGTCTTTTTCATCATTACAAAGGTTCATGGCTTCAAAAACCCAACTACTGTAATATTAATGTGACTCAATCATACAAAACATGTGTACAAGGAAACTACCAGCAACATATGTGCATGGGGAAAGTAATAGTGCAACAACAACTTGTAAGTCTGTGGGACGGACCTACAGAGACTCATCTCTAGTCCCATGAAGGAACCGTCTCTCCTCTTATTCCACCACTGAAACCACCACCAGGGAGACGAGAGGGGAACCGACTAACAGACGCACACCACAGAGAATCTCAGTTCTGGCCTGTGAGTCGGGCCGACCTTTGGATGCCGGAGCTTTCACATGAATCCCAAAAAGCAAAGTGCACTGGTTTGACAACGGGCCTCACCACGTCCATCCCTGGTGTGGTGGATTTCTAGACCTGCAACCACGCGCAGCCTGTTCGCTGCAGGAGGCGACCACCAGCAAAGAGAGGGAGGGGCTGATTGTCGAAGTCGGCCTGACGTTTCTAAAGATATAGTTTTTCCACTAGTGGTTGATTGTGTACTGCACACACACACACACACACACACACATACACACTAGATCTCGGTGACATACGAATGACACATAAATACAAAGAGAAAGTTTAGGAGTTCTCTTAACTTGCTACTCTGACCTGAGCCCATCTTCATGTTCCAAGGAGCATCCTTTAAGTTAGAAGTCCCGCCCCCTCCACTCAACGCTCCAATAACAATCCTGCTTGGAACCTGGCGAACCTCCATGAGCCGCCCTCTGGTGTCATACGTAGTATGCTACGTCTGTGTGGAGCTACTATGTAACACTACACACGTGTTGCAATTTGGACACATTACATACATACATCATATCCTTCCATCGCATACTATAGTCCCTGAAAGTAACACGTAAATGTTTGTCTTTGTAAAGGTCCTTCGACCTCGGAACAGTAAAAACTGGAGGCGGGACTTGAAAAGCATCTTAACATCACAGTCAGATTCTCAAAAGTATAAAAAACGTGATATTAATGAGCCCACGTTACAGTCTGAACAACAAACAGCCACCAACAAATTAGAATGGGACAAAATGATTCTTCTAAGTAGAAACAAAGAAAACCAACGTGGACCTACTGGTCCCACTGGGCTTCGACCCAACGACCTGATTCCTGCAGCTGGCCAGAGAACTGGTGACTTCTCAGCCCCAACAAGCCAACGACCTGCGAGCGAGCTCACCAGACTAAACGCATTCTGAAAACTAGAGACGTTGATTCTCTGAGTCAGCGAGTAAGATAAGTAATGGTGAGAGAGAGAACCACACCTTTAAACTACTTTGGACTGTCTAACGCAGGGGTCAGAGGTCATTGTCCCTAAACCTTCCAGAATGTTGTTGTAAAGGTTCAGCAGCTCAAATTCACATTTTGAAAGCATTTTAATAAAGCCACGTCAATGATGAATCAATAAAGCTGACCAATAAATACGGTACTGATCCGTCAGCCTGAGTGCACGTGAAAGAAACAACCCCCTTCTGTTTGGTGAAATCATTTCCTGAGATAGCTACATGAACAGAAAGATGAATTACTTTGGTCGTTAATAACTCGATGGTTGTAAGAGCAGCTACGACTTTAATCTATTTCTTCCTTGCGGTCTCTGATTGGAGGGATGACGTCACTGTGAGACACACACACACACACACGCTACATGTTGTGCAGCCAGCTTCAGTTAATCATCACCTTAATCATTGTTTTTATTCTGCCGTCACATTGTTTCTAGTGTTTCAGGATCATCTGTATACTGAAAACATGTAACCACGAGATGTTGAGTGCATTTTACATTGCTTGTTTTCTTTGCTTGGGAAATGTAATTTGTGTCACGTGTAATCTGTGTCTGTGCAAAGTAAGATTTGGTGTGTGGATCTCATCATCCTCGTCATTTGCACTTCTCTGTAACGCATAAGATACCGTCCGAAAAATGTCATTTCTTGCATGAACTACAAGGTACCACCTAATTCTGAATGAAGTCTGGAGCTCCTTAAAATGAATGGTATTCAAAGTCAAATACATTTAACACATGTCAGTCATGTGTGTGTGAGAAAGTTATTTTTTAGTTTCGCTTTCATTTAAGTCCAAAGGTTCACATTAATGAGTTTGATTAAATACAGACCCAGCAGACAGCAGTCATAGTCTGATGTTCTCAGGTGAAATAACAGTAAAAACACGGTAAACACTAAGAGCCTTAATGGACGCAGGCGTTTTTCCATAATCAAACAGTCACAACATATCTGACCTCGGCCAGTTCTTCCCTCGTACTCTGAGTGTTCCGCAGGGCTCGACTCCTCCGCTTCATCTCAGAGGACAAAGTCAAACACCATCTCAGCAGAAGTGCATAGATGGAGAAAGCTGAAGCAGCCGGTCCACGTCCGGGTCGCTGACTGTTTTTCTTTTCTTGGACACGAGGGGCGGCACATAAAGACAGCGGCCGGATAAAGACGACATAGAAGGGCAGACCGGGAGACCAGACACAAACGGAGAACGGGTTTAGCGCTGCGGTTAATGGGATTGGACGGTGAAGAGCGTGGACGTCCAATGGGTCTGCCAGACGGCCGACTCCACGTCATGTGACCTCAGCGAAGGCGATGTGATTCTGCAGGGAGGAAGGAAGAATAAGAAGAAGTCAAATCAGAACGATGGGGACCAGACATTCTGCTGGCTTCATTCAGGGCACCTTATATATGGACACACTCCTCAAAGTAATTTCAGGCTGCTCTTGGCCAGTGTTTTATAAAAAGTATCATCTGCCAAAAGAGTTCAGCCACAAAATGAATCTATGAGGGGAACGCTCCAAATAGCAGAATCATTTCAGGGTTTTTTCAACAGAAAAACCTCTTTTGAAAACCAGAAAGAAAGACACTGTGAATCTGGTATATTTCCACCTGCCGTGTCTGTAGAAATCCTGTTTATTTTGAGGAGCTAAGGCGACTCTCACCGCCCTGCCAGCAGGAGAGAAGCCATCAGAAGCTGCGTGGAGGAGTCGCCTGCACGAAGGGGTCTGATGTCAGCCTCTAAACACCAAGAACCCCAGGATGCAAACCCAGTGGTCCAAGTGTATACGGAGGAGGAAATATACCACATTTCATTCATGAAGCCGAGACCCTCCACGTGTTCAGAACACACCTGCAGAGCAAGTTCTGAACAGCTGGTAGAGAAAAGAAGCCGTCACAGCATGCAGACAGCAGAGAGGCTCCCTGAGAGGAGAGGGGGGGCCTGGCCTCCTCCTCAAGGAGCTCCACTGCTCAGGAGAGGAAGTCCTGTTCCTGACTGTTCTTTTGATGGAACATGGCAGCACTAATTGTTTATTGTCACAAACAGTTGTGGAGATCAGGTAATGTTTCTTTGCCTTCTGCAGTATATTAAGCATCCAGCTGTTAAGAGGCCCTTTGTTTAAAAAGTGGCATCCTCAATGCTGTCCTAAACAAAACTGTGGATTTTAGTTTAATCTGAAGCGATTGATCATTTTCACCAATAAAGTGTTAATAAAAGCAGCAATGAAAGATGATACGAGGCCATGGACCGTACCCCACGTCGGCGCCAAGTAGAGTAGCAGCACTCGAGCATCAACAGTGAGGTAGCACTCAGGATCAGCCCCCCCACCCCGACTACTTAACCATCTGATCTGATCAACGATAACGGACCTCCCTCCCGTCATGAGACACACGCCATCGGATGCCGTTTTCCTCTCGGTTGCTGCATCCAGCCGTCTGTGGAGGTCCAAGCCGAGGCTTAGTCTACCTTTCAACAAGGAGAGTAAACGGGAGAAAACATCTCCCACAACACTTTTCTCCTCTTGTGTTTCTGGTGTTTTAACCCGTTTTTTTGTGCAAAGCAGATTCAGTTCTGATCCGATCATTAATCTTTTGTTCCTTCAGGGAAACACACTCAGGCGTCCTCCAGCTGGAGGCTGCATTCCACTCCACACAGTGGGGACGTACGTGGGATTCAGACTTCTGCCCTGACCTTTTTTTTCTGTTGCTTGTTAGGCTTTCAGACATCTTCATGTTGAGCTATTTTTAGAGCGGTGCATTTTCCACGAGCGAGGCGTAGCCGAGGTGAGACTTTGTATCCTCTGCAAGCAGCCGAGTTTCAGCTAGAAGCTGTGAATCAAACTGAATCACACAGGCGGAGTTTCTACTTTCAGACGATAAATGTGTGTTGCGGTAGAGGAAGTCAAGGAGCAGGTGGCATAACGACTACTGAAGGTAGAGAAGCACCTCCGCCCCACATGCCAAGTCCTCTGGGCACGGTTCATTGTCGGCCTCGTCCTCTCGCTGGTTTCACTATGACGCTCTCACCGGTCCTGCTCTCACCGGTCCTGCTCTGACCTGTCCTGCTCTGACCTGTCCTGCTCTCACCTGTCCTGCTCTCACCTGTCCTGCTCTCACCGGTCCTGCTCTCACCGGTCCTGCTCTGACCTGTCCTGCTCTCACCTGTCCTGCTCTCACCGGTCCTGCTCTCACCGGTCCTGCTCTCACCTGTCCTGCTCTCACCGGTCCTGCTCTGACCTGTCCTGGTCTTACCTGTCCTGCTCTCACCTGTCCTGCTCTCACCGGTCCTGGTCTCACCGGTCCTGCTCTGACCTGTCCTGGTCTTACCTGTCCTGCTCTCACCTATCCTGGTCTCACCGGTCCTGCTCTGGCGTTTCCGCCGTCACCTCCGGCTGTGGTGCTTGGGGAAGCTTCAGCTGCAAGCTCCGGATGCATTGGATGTCTCATGTATTCAAACCCAGCATACTCGGCTGTATGTGGGCTGGGAGCATCTGTTGTGTGTTAAAATGGCAGCCCGTGTTGTTTGTATAGTTCAGACTAAACTGGGATCAAACTGTAACCACAGAAGGGACCAGCAACATCATTTAGTGCTAATTCAAACATGGATATTTTCTACGTCAGGAGGATTTTTTGACGTAGCTGAACTCGTTTCCAGGATGACTGATGCTGAGCATCACAGCAGACATCTTGATTTGGGAAATATGAGAGATAAAGTTGAAATGTGTTATTTCCACCTGTGATTTTGCTTTCATGACCGGACTAAACGTTCTTCATGTTGTGAAAACGCTGTGGAAGCATGGACATGCTCTGATAAGTCCCCTAGTCTAAAGGTCCTCAACTGCACCTCTGTAGTGAGTCAATGCGTGCGTGTGTGTGTGTGTGTGTGTGTGTGCGTGTGTGTGTAGTTGCTGGTCTGCACCGTAGAGTTGAACCACAGAGTCGGGTCTGCAGGAGCTGTCATGTTCAAAGCCTGATGGTAACCTCGCCTACGGGGATCTTTGTCCCAAACTCTGCACCAAGTTGTCCCCCTGGGGTGTCCCCGAGGTACGGCCCTGACATCCCTGAGACTATAAATACCAGCACTACCCGGCCTCTCTGTACCGGGAAGGAAGTGCAGAAACAACGGTGTTTTTCTCTTTGGACCCCGAAGAAAAGAAGAGATCCCTCCTCTTCTCACGCAAGTCAACCTTTGCTGGTTGGAAGTACAGACTTTCCATTCACTTCTGAAGAACGCTGCTATTCATCATCATAAGTTTAAAAGGGAAGAAAGAACACAAACACACACAGTTTTTGCAGCATGCCGTGACTTGGGGCAAACATTTGGTTTCCCCACTTTGAGGGGCCATTTGAGATTAGCATAAATGCTGAGGATCATCATGGTCCTCATTTAGATCCAACTGTGCTTTTGGGGCAGTGCACCTACACACAAAAGGTATGATTGCATCCCCTAGTTAGCGTGGTGTAGCAGCTCTCCTGTCTGCGTAGTAACAGACAGCGTTACTCAAGGGTGAAAGGTGAAGAAAGGTACAGATGTGGGCAGCGGTTTGAAAACACGTCACTGTTGGTTGCCTTTTGTTGCAGAGGCGCTGGACCCATTGCAGACCCTGCAGCCAGTGCAGGAAGGCCTGGAGGCGCTCCTTAATCCAGCACGACTCTTCCTCCTCCTCATCCGCCTCCTGCATCAACGTGTGTCGTCAAAAGTTAAAAGTCAAACACCGATATGTTTCTGCAGGACCGGTGGCTGTAGTAGGTCCACAAAGAACAACTTTATTCAGCAACTGTACGGACCTGCAGTTCATCCACGCAGGGTGTGAAGGGTTACACCAAGTGGCTACATTGTCAACATACTGGATACCTGAGCAATCCAATAATTGGCCTACTAATAGCTAGTGGCACTCGTTTAGGATCCAATGGGAAAAATGACGGCTAACAGCAGTTCTTCATTTTTAAGCAATCAACTGTTCCTCAGTTAATCAACTCAAAACTATTTCATTTGTGAAGCTGGAAGACACATTTTGCAGGAATACTAATAATAATCTGTCAAATGTGTTAAACAATCCAACAATAAATGTAATATTTCCCTTGATGCATTGCAATCGCTGACACATCGGACCTCCCGGTGAGTGATCGTAGCAGACACCTGTCACTTCACATTCACGTTGTCCTGCCAAATCAACTATTGTTATGTAACTGCACACTCTACATTACCAGATCTAGCTTTGAGGGTTTTTTACACCGGATGAATGGATGAATGACTCCGGTGTCGTCACGTATGTACGCAAGTACACGACTCGGTGAATTAAACTCCTGTTGACGAGGCTGGTGCTCCAAACACTAGTCAACGCATACTCACATAACGGTGCAAACAACTGAAAATCGGCCAATTAAAGACACGAATAAGACCATCACGACCTCCTGCGTGCTTCTTTCATACCGACTGACGTTCGTCCTGCACGGTCAGGGCAGGGGAAGGTGTGCGTTGTGCGCGCAGGTGGCTGCTGCTGACCTGTGAGGCGATGTACTTCTCCAGAGGACTCTCCATCCGGCCCATTGGAAGCATGGCCGGGTTGCACGGCTCCTCTCCAGAGTCCTCGCTCAGCAGCAACTTGCCTTTGAAGTTATGGACCACACACACCACCTGCAACGCACACAGCAGAGGACACAGATGTGCAACTGGTTATCCCGTGGATGTCGGGCACGTGTGTGTAGAGTCCTCCCGGGGGGATTAGTGTGGCTGTGTGATGGATGCCGGCGCTCCTCTAATAAGGAGCAACATGTGACCTGGAGCGTCAAAATGAAATGACTGATTTCAAGTTGTGCTGAGCAGAGATGCAGAAACTCTTGAGGCCTGCAGCTGAAACCAGGTGAGCCTCCTGTGTAGCCGTGGTTCAAATATCCCCCTCTTTAAGCTCTGTTTGGGTCCCCATCAACTTTCTTAACATTAAATATTTTACATTACAGGTCACTTAGCTGACGCTTTCATCCAAAGCGACTTACATTACATTTTGAACCCATGGCTTTTTTTACATTAGAGGAGCAATTAGAGGTTTGGTGTCTTGCTCAGGGACACTTTCGACATGGAACATGGGGCAATCAGGACTCGAACCACCAACCTTGTGCCTCCCAGCACCCTCTCTACCCCCTGCGCCACGACGACCATAACAAATGAAGCTTATGGTTTTATTGGAAGGCTCCATTGTAATGCCGTGTTGTTATGCAGACTCGTGACATGCACGGCCTCCCGTGGAGATCAGCGTCCCTGCAGACCCTCTCTGTGATAACGAGGCAGAATGAGATGAGACGAGTCACTTTGCTTTGCTCTCCTCAAACGTTAGGACCTTTTGATGTAATACTGATGCCCCTACATGACCTACATGAGTAAGCCAGACCATCACAGAGAAGACTGACCACTCGTATGTAGATATTCTTAATGCTTGTTATTGTCATGAATTCTCCAGCGTATTAGTTTTTCCTGCCTGCTTGCTTGTCAATGAACTCTCTGTCATTCCAGATCCTGTCATCAACAAGAAATCACCTCCTTCTCTTCACCTGGTCCTCATGCCCGTCCCACCTGCAGCCCGTTCCCTCATCAGTCCCTCACTATTTAGGTCCCCACACTTCCACTTGTCCTCTGCCAGATTGTCTTGTGTGTATACAGAGTTTTCCGATTACCTGATACGTCCTGACGTAGACCTGCCTTTTTCAACCACAAACTCTCTGCCTGCCCCTTTTTGGATTTGTTCACCTGTCTCATTGCCATCCTGGTTCAGAACCCCGCCTATCCTCGTTTACAGATTCCTTGCCTGCCCCTCTAGATTTGTTTGCCCGTTGGACTGCTACCCTGGTTTTGACCCTGCCTGAATTAGTAAAGAACTTTGATTGGATTTCTGTCTCAGAGTTGTGCTTTTGGGTTCCAATACCTGTAACCCTTAGTTATTGGTTTCATCTCAACCGTGAGGTGGAGGAATCGGATGACATTTTCACCAGGAATTCCTTCAGCTCAGACGGAAGCCGACACCACGGTGGCTTTATACTCCGTCTGTATGTATGTGTATGTCTGCGATAATCCCCGTCACACACTCACTCCCTGTCCTACGCAAGCAGAGCAGGGATGCCCTCCGCGGGCGTGAGTCTCACCAGGAACGTGGCGATGGCAGAGCCGATGATGAAGCCGGCGATGACGTCCGACCAGTGGTTGCGGTATTCAGCCACGCGGTTCAGTCCGGTGAGGAAGGCCAGACACACGAGCCCGAGGGACAGCACCGGCTTGGCCAGACGGGTGCCTTTGGCCTGCACCGTGCACGTCACGTACATCTGCCGGGAGGAGAGATGCAAGGGTCACTGGAGTGTTTAAACATCTCGTAAAATCACGAGTTCCATCAATGACTTATTCAGTAAGGAGACATTGCAAAGCTCTGTGAGGAAGTTCTCCACCTTCAGATGATGTGACACTAACAAATGACAAACAAAACCAGTGCAGAACAGAAAAGACTACGCCATCATTCTGCCTGTATTTATGTCACTATTAGGACCCATTTCAATCCTCACGTTAACGAGTTAACGCTCAAACCTTTACCCGGTTCAAATATTGAAAGTAAATGTATAGTATTTATAAAGTGATACATAATATAGTATTGTCTCTAATGGAAAGTTAATGCATAACTTTGACCCTTGACCCCAGAAAATGAGAAATGAAAAAAGCTAAAGAGAGGGACTTTGGGATATGGGTGGAACTATATTAACATCTGCATGAATGTGTACAGGGTTTAGTGATTTCTGCATGTAGGTCAACACGCACTGTGGGGAGAACAAGTATTTGATACACTGCTGATTTTGCAGGTTTTCCCACTTACAAAGCATGTAAGAGTCTGTGACGGAATCTAAAACAAATCCAGAAAATCACATTGTATGATTTAAAAAAATATATGTTAGTTCATTGCATGACATAAGTATTTGATCACCTACCAACCAGTTAGAATTCCAGCTCTCACAGACCTGTTAGTTTGTCTTTAGGAAGCCCTCCTGTTCTCCACTCATTACCTGCACCTGTTTGAACTCTTACCTGTATAAAAGACACCTGTCCACCCACTCAATCAAACAGACTCCAACCGCCCAACAATGGCTACGACCAGAGAGCTGTGTAAGGACACCAGGGACAATTGTAGACCTGCAGAAGGCTGGACGGCTACAGGACAACAGGCAAGCAGTTCAGTGAGAAGGCAACAACTGTTGCGCAATTATTAAAAAATGGAAGAAGTTCAAGATGATGTCAATCTCCCTCAGTCTCCCTCATCAATGATCATGAGGAAGGTGAGGGACCCGCCCAGAAGTGCACAGCAGGACCTGATCAATATCCTGAAGAGAGCTGGGACCCCGGCTCAAATAAAACCGTTAGCAACACACGATGCCATCATGGATTAAAATCTAAAATCCCTCAGAGCACGCAAGGTCCCCCTGCTCAAGCCAGCGCAGGTCCAGGCCCGTCTGAAGTTTGCCAATGACCATCTGGATGATCCAGAGGAGGTCATGTGGTCTGATGAGACGAAAATAGAGCTTTTTGGTCTACACTCCACTCACTGTGTTTGGAGGATGAGTACAACCCCAAGAACTTCCCAACGGTGAAGCATGGAGGTGGAATCATCGTTCTTTGTAGATGCTTTTCTGCAAAGGGGACAGGCCGATGTTAAGTTTGACTTTTCTGATGTATCAAATACTGCATGTCCTGCAATAAACTGAAAAATATTTTGTTTTAATCTTGGGCTTTGGTTTAGATTCTGTCACTCACAGTTGAAGAGTAGCTATGATAGACTCCTACTTGCTTTGTAAGTGGGAAAACCTGCAAAATCGCCAGCGTATCAAATACTCATGTACGTTACCTATCCCAGTCCTTGGTAATGAAACGTTGATAACTGGTTCCATTTCTGAGGATCCATCAATGGTCCCCTGTGCTCTGTGAGTGTGGCACTTTTCTGCACATGGTGGTTTAATTGTTTGTTTAAGGTGAAAAGTGCGACGGCTGATGTAAAACTCTCATAGAAGCCGTGTCATCTGATCATAAAACAACAGTTCATACTGCATGTTGATGAGGCAGACATCTTTTTTATCACTCAATATGTTCTCTCGGCAACCACATTATGTTAGTTTAACTTTCAAAAGCATTATTTTAGTACCTGAGTCCTGATGTTTTATTTAACAGGCTATGATAGTGTGTAAATAGGAGAGAGTCTCCTCGGGGCTTCTCATCTTCCTGTTTTTCTCTATTTAGACATTTGCTGGCAGTTCTACCACTGGAACTCATGCTGGAATAAGGACGTATCCGGTTGAGAAAAGAAAAAAAGTAAAAGAAGCAGATGGAGAATAATAGAAAGAGGAGAGAAGTTACAGGAGAGGAGGAAGGAGAATGGAGGTGGAGGATGATGCACAGAAGGAGAGATACAAAGAGGAGGAGAAAGACAGAATGGTAAATGGTAAATGGCCTGTACTTGTATAGCGCTTTTCTAGTCTTCTGACCACTCAAAGCGCTTTAACACTACATGACATCATTCACCCATTCACACCCATTCATACACTGATGACAGGAGAACCATACACAGTGACACCTGTCCATCAGTAACTACCATTCACACACTGTAGTCGCAGCTACAGGAGCAATGTTGGGTTAAGTGTCTTGCCCAAGGACACAACGACATGCGGGTGGACAGAAGTGGGTGATGAAAAAGGAGAAGTGGTTCCCAAAGTCTCTTCACTCAGCTGATGCACAGAGACACCAGATCACTGTCACATCATCAGTTCAGACACAGCCGAAAGCATCACCAAGACCCGGAGCCTTAAGGGTAGAAAACCGATCAGCCAATCAACCTTTATCCTGATCCAAAGACTCTTTGTACAGGATTTCCTTAAGTCCATTAGATAGGACTCTTCAAAGCACATTGGAGTTCAGATGAGGGACACCGGCCTCCGGTCCCTGAGTACTGATGGTCTCCTTTCCTTGCTAGGAGAGACAGCACTGCTTGCTGACAGGAACAGATCCAGGCGTACATGTCTTTCATCTTGAGGAAGCAAGCGCTCCCTTCCCCCTCTCCTGTAGGATGGAGCTCAGTATTTTCATGGAGCAGTTGAATTGAATTGGCTTTGACCTGCAGCAGGATCTGAGTTTCTCTCTGTTAAATACCCCTAATGTTTGCTCCAAGGTCCTGACTGCCCCGAGCAGTGGAACGGGAGGTGCACTGCTGGCAGAAACCTAAAAAGTAGTGCTTGTCCAACCTCCCACCACAGCATCCGAGAACTAACGGCAGCTTTTCTGAGAATTTCTCACTGCCAAAGAGGCTAAAAGCTCTGACAAAAGGATCTTATAAAGAGCCGCTGGGTGCGGCCGGCTTAAATTTCATGCAGTCCCGCATACGGTTTGTGCTCCACATATCCACACTCAACATATATGAGCCATCCTGAGACGGCATCCACCATGCAGCACCATCAGCGCGCGTCACTCCGGAGGACACCACCTGTGTTTGAGTGGTGCAGAAACACAACCAGCTGCCCCCTTAAAGAGAGAACTTACTGTCATCCCAAAATCCCTTTTGTCATCAGCGCAACCGGTCAAAATCAATTGATGCAAAGGCGAGTTTATCGTGCCCTCCCTACGTAACTTCTCCACAGTGACACTTTTAGTTGTAAACGCAGATATCTAAAGACCTAACCGTCGCGCTCAAACTCACTGTAAACTGGGCTCTACTCCAGTGTAATAAGCTGGTTTTCAAAAGGAAATGCATTTTGGGTAAAACTCGCAATAGAGAGTGAAATAGCATGCAGCATCTTCCTCCTCTCCATCTGTTCCTCAGATGAGCTGCCGTAGATGATGCACCGCCACGTTCTGGTGCAGGGTGCTGATCACAGACGAAGCATTTCTCCAATAAACTGAACTGAATCCACTTTGTGAGGAAACACGACTGTGTCTTGTGGAGGATCGGTGCACCGATGCACTGGGCGGCGTTGTGTCTATGATGACATGAAGGGTTAAAGCCCTTTGGGTGGTCAGACGACCATTCACTGTCCACTTATATCAAAGCCCTTTAACACACTACCTTCTGTCACTCATCCATTCACAGCGGTTCATACACCACGATATCCTTCCAACTCTGTTCATCTCACTCACTAGATTTGATTGGCTAATTACACACTTTACACAACCTTGTTCTGGACGTTCTATCTAAAATACATCTATTTTATTGGACCTCCTGGAATGTATGCATTTAGGAGAGGTTTCCACTCTAGATGTCTGTAGCTAAATTTAGAGCAGCGATTCCTTTTGGAATTGAATTCATTATGTCGTATTAAATCAGAGGACCCCTGTGCTAACTTTAGTGTGTGCTACAGGCCCTTTGAGAATAACACAAGACCATTGCTCCTCGAAAAAAAGATACAAATAAAGCAAGTTTGCTCCTTGGTGGAACCCTTGAATCCACACATTAAAGCAAACATTGCCACCATGTTAGAAGAATCTGGGTTAGTTTGTCAGCAGTTTATTACTCATCATTAATAGAGGAAAACTAAAAGAAGCCCAGGTTCCTCTTCAGATTCTAACCATCGGGGAGATTCAAATGAATAGTTGATGGACCTCGTGCCCTCAGCCAGCACCACCCACTAAGCAACAGGGAAAGGGTCCTTGCTCTGATCCTCTGATCCTACCATGACCGTGGAAAGGGAATAAGTAAGTAATAATTGTCTTGAGATATGACTTGTGCACTCTGGGGGGGTCTGATAACAAGGCGGAGCAGAGTGACGTCCCAACCCGTCTCTGATGTACACAAACTAGGAGGACTTTGAAGGACGATACAAACGAGGCCTTTACAACCGATTCCAGGGCATTACTGCCGTGACTACTTTATATTGTATAAATGAATAAGGTTAGTCCTAATGTTTAGGCCCAGCTCAGCGCTGCGTCCTAAGGGGACTCTCTTACTTAAATACTTACAACTCAAAGTCATGTGTGTTCAGAGACACCTTGTGGGTTTGGGTTTTTTCAGGGGAAACATAAAATAATAGAAGTTGCAATAATTAGTTTTAACTTCACTAACTAAAATCAAGGGCATGAAATGTAACCAGGGATAGTCAAACCCGTGTTATGTACTTTTAAGACTGAATAGACTGAACATGGTCACAGCGACAGCATGTCACGGTGTGGTTTAATTTCCTGTCTTATTTTGTAGTTCTCTGCCACTTGTCTCTCTGGGTAACTTCACTTCCTGCCTTGTCCTGTCATCCCCTGTGATTGTCTGATTGTTTCCACCTGTGTCCAATCACCTGCACCTCCCTAGTGTATTTAAGCCGTGTGTGTCTTTTGTGTCACTTGTCTCGTCATTGTCGTTTGTCCTGGATGTGTCTTGGTTCCTGCCTGTATTTGTGCCTTTTTGCCCTTTTGGGAGTTTTTTGACTATTGAAGTCCTTTTGTGTTTCGTAAAGCCTGCGTTTGAGTCCTGCCTTCCCCGCATCCCTGACACAGCACTATTTGGTTTATTGCAGAACATCAAATGCTGAGCAAGACATCGATAGGCGACTAAAGGGCTCTTCTCCATTAATCCTCCATTTATATTTCCTAGTGGTGCCTCTGTCCTTCAACTTGTGTAAACTTCTGTTCAACTGTTCCACCGACAGACGTTTCCATTGGAGGAACACAGAGCTCTACCGTGTAAAGCGTCTTTGAGTACTTTGAAAAGCACTATATAAATAAAATGTATTATTATTATTAGTATTACTTTTATGGATCAAAGGACGGAATGCTTATCGCGGCCCGGTGTGTCGATGGCACACAACATGCTGTCTTACCATGTTCACATCCAACACAAAGCACATTTCCCATCAGTTAATAGTAACAATAATAATAGTTGGCTATAATAATAGTAATAGCGTATGCTTTGTTACCGCTGACTGCTCTTAAAGGGCCTGTTTTCTGAAGGAGTCATGTTCAGCATGTTATTGTTTGTACCGTACAAGCATTAACATGGTTAAAACACATACATGAATACAAATAGTCCTGTCTCTGTACATATATGAGGAACCATAAGGCTTTCTGATACATGTCTGATATGTAATAGTAGGTGAGGAAATGGCTGCCGACCCCGTGTGTTTGGAACAGGATCAAAAAACGTCCATTTGTTGTTTTATCAACTCTAATAAATAAAACAATTTGGAAGAAAAGAGCTCTACAATCTGCTTGTAGGGCTCTTTTCCTGCAGAGCCAGCGTGTGTGTACTTATGAGTCCGACCTTCACCAGGTCACGGATATTTCTCCCTGTGAGCCTCGTCTGAGATGTAACCATCAGTTTTAGAGTGAATGCATGTTCACAAAGCACCATAAAAGCAACAGGTTGTATTGACCAGCTCCTCCGGTCGAATGGATTCCTCTTAACAGCCTTTGGAGATGTTGCACAGCCGTGTGCGTGCTCCAACCTCCCTCCATCACATCGGACATACGCTGCGGTCGGCTCTTCACTATATTATGGGCTCGTCGGCCGAAGATCTTCTGCTCGATGCTGCTGTGGACACAAATCTCTGACTTCCAAGTTCAAATGGCTGGTGCTGGTGTGACTGTTGTTGTTGTGTTCATACATGTGGCTCGTGCTCTTGCATGACGGGGTTGCTCTTTGCTCTTGCAAGGCAGTCTGTAATGTCGCTCGTAATGCTAATGAGCACAGGAAGCCCCTTGGTGTGTCAGCTCTCTGGATTTGCAGAAATGTGGTGGGAGGAAATACAACCAGCCTCCATTGGAATAAATCAGAAGCACTTGATTTAAAGTTCTCTTCATTAATCCATGTATTCAAACCCCAGAAATCACACAGCACCCCTGCAATCCCCTGATGCAGGGCCACGCTTTGCTTTGAATTGAATCCGGACTTTGTTGCACTGAGATACGATGTCTAACGCGGCGGAACAGACCCTGCATTCAGAAATCTCAACTTAAGAAGGAACCATTGAAACGTTACATGACTGTGCTGCACCGCCCACACTGTCAGAATTAAAATACCACAGCGAAGAAACAAACCGTACCTGGCGTCTGAAGAACGAGGCTCACAGCTGGATAGAAACCGTGTTCCTCTGTAAGTCAATGCAACGTTGTATAAATCCCACCTGGCGACGGGCTCTCCCTGCATGTGCAAAAACGCTTAACAGACTAATGTGAAGTTAGAATTCTTGGATTTTACAATAAGGCCTCGTCCGACGCAAATGGAGCTCAGTGTGGATCAGATGTGTGATCATCTTCAACTGTTTTAGTGTTTAGCATGCAGAACAGTATGTGCAAATTACCGTTTCTGTCAGAAGGCCCTGTAGGCAAACGTCTCCCCGTGCTACTAGATCGTGACTTCAGCGCTGTAAAAAGGTGCGAAGCGTCCAATCAGGAGTCTGCTCATTTAGAATTCTGGACCTGTGAGACCCGACAGGGTGAATATCAACTAGTAAAGCTTGTTGTTTTATGAAAAGGTTGAACTATTCCTATTTGTACACTGGGAAACGTAGTTTCACATGTGATCGTATTGACAGTTATACTATAATAATAAAATAAAATAAAAATAAAATTCACACATACTCAACAGAATTTAAACTACATTCAACGATTACAAATTGAAATTAAGAAATGCAAAATCTTTGTTATATATCCTAACCAGGTGGTTCTTGTATTGTAGCAGGAATGTTAGTGTTGGTAATTGGACGTCTCCGCATGGCAGGGACATTGATTGAGTCATTACGGCCTCATTTGGACGGGTCCTCGGGCTGTGTTTGGCTGTGTTCGGCGCTGGCACGGCTCTGATGACCGAGACAATGAGAGTTAGAGAAAGGGCTGAGCATCATGCCCTCAGAGCGGTGTGTGTGTGTGTGTGCCCCTTACATAACGTCTTGTGCTAACTTCATGTATGTGCTGAACACAAACGATGGCTTCGGCTAATTGACCCAGATAAGAGGCAATCTGCTCTCCCCGTCGCACAGAGAGCCGCCATGGTCTAAAGCCGTGCATCCATCGCTCATCCGACTAGAATCTGCTGCTGCTCTGGGATCTTACTGACCAAACGTGGAAGCTACACAGAAAGCTAAAAACAGGAAACAGTATGATTAATGGAACACATTTCATTTCCATTCCATTCAACCAGTACAGAGCCCTTGTTTTACAGAATGCATGCAAAATACTTCAAGTTACGATCTTAAGAGCTTCAGGATGAAAATCTATAAAAATATTTCACGTCCATTTCCTGCGTTTCGCCATGAAGAATAACATGAAGCATTTTGTAATCTGACCAATATTTCTTATCCGTGATGCTACTTCAGACCTGAAAGCATTTCCAAAAGCAGAAGTTGCACAAAGCGCCCCCTCCTGGCCAAAGGAAATGTACTCCTATCCAGTTGACCAGATGGCCTTTGGTTGGCCGTGGATGGGCTCCGTCCTGAGTACTGTGAGGTTTAGATGGTTGGGCATCAGTCATGGACCTGGTACTTGGCTCGTTGGTAATGCAAACACATGTTCAAGGTCGGATTTTGAAAAGATAAAATAGTGAACCGCAAGGGAAGGTTTTCCATCAAAGAGCTGATGTACAGTTAACAGACAATTCCCCCAGCTGAACCCCCCCCCCCGCTCCCCAAGAGCTGATCCAGCAGCATTCTGAATGCAAAGCAGTTTCGCCTGAATATTATTTGCATAAATATACACATAATTTACAATATCATCAACATCAAACTAGAGATTGAGACCATCAACTCGTGTTTACGATGTTTACTGAGGGAATAACTCAAGAGAGAAGTAGAGTCTTTTTGGGGGATCTACTAAAACCCAGTTGAAAGGACTATTTCTAATTGTGTAGAAAAGGTTTATGGATGCCACTGAATTAAATAGCGCTCTTCTAGTCTTCACTCACTCGAGCCTCTTTAACACTACATGTCATTATTCACACACTGATGACAGGAGCCCCCATGCCGGGTGCCACCTGCCCATCAAGTCTCCTGCCCGAGGACACATGGACAGGCGCAGCCGGGGATTCCCGGTACGATGAACCATGCGTGAGTGTATTTTCAACGGGACGAATGGAGCAGAGCTACTCACCGCCAGGTAGAGGGCGGCGTAGACACTGAGGGCGGCCTCCTTGGATGGGAAGGTCTTGCGAGCCCGCAGGATGTCGTCCTGGTTTCCGGTGCAGGCCTCCTGGTGGCTGATGTAGCGCAGGGCCTGCTGGCAGCCCAGGGCCGTGTAGTTGGGCTTACAGACGGTCAGAAAGTAGGGCGCCAGGTTTCCTGTCACTACCTGGCCCGCGTTGACAAAGATGTCAACAGTGAAGAGGCCAAAGGAATAGACGCCTGGGAAGACAAAAAGAAGATGGCTAAGAAGGACGCATGGGACAGATGGAGGCGGCATCTGCTGAAACGTTGGTGAAAGGTGGTTAAATGCACCTTGTGAGTTGTCACTCCACAAACTGTCTCAGCCACACAGAAAGACATTATTATTGCATTTCATTCATGGATCAGATCATTATACATCTCCTTGATGTGTTTCATCCATCCATCCATCTGCAAACCGCTTATCCTGCACACAGGGTCGCGGGGGGGCTGGAGTCCATCCCAGCCAACGTCGGGCGATAGACAGGGTACCCCTTGGATTGGTCGCCACGCAGGGCTACACAGAGACACACAACCATTCACACTCACTTTCACACACCTTTCACGCAATTTAGAGTCCCTAATCAACCTGATCCCTGATTTTTTTCCTGTACCGATGGTGGGTTCCGGGACAGAGGATGTTGCATGTGTACAGACTGTAAAGCCCTCTGAGGCAAATTTGTCATTTGTGATTTTGAGCTATACAAAATAAAACAAATTGAATCCCCAGAGCATGTCTTTAGACTGTGGGAGGAAGCCGGAGTACCCGGAGAGAACCTTGATGTGACCTCAAAACCTCAAAAAAATGTCCTCTAGATAAGGGCACTGATCAAGTCACTAATCGCCGAAACGTTTAGGCTTCGGTTCTAAAGCTGAACAAGACAATCGCAACATTTCCACGTCCCGTTTGGTTTTGACCAACATCTTGTTATCCTTGTGTCTGTGTCCAACAACTCCTCAAAAACCCTTAGGAGGTATGATAACAATTCAATGAATCCATTAAGCTTCCAGTGAACTCAGAGAGCATTCACATGGGCTCATGAGTTGTTTCACTTGTTAGATTTCTATTGCTGCCGCTGCTCCATGGAGAGCCATAATCTACTGAGACAGCGCTGTGAAGGCAGCTGCACCCGTTAATGGGAGCGCCAGCATCCTGGTCACTGACCTCAGTGGGCCGTGTTTGAAGGGAGGTGTCTGACATACCTTTTATAAAGACGCCACGGCTGTGAATCCAAGAGTCAACACATTCTCCCCCTCGAATACCAGACAGCTGGTTGGTTGCCCTTCATTTCAAACCGTGATGCTCTACTTGCCCCCTTGTGTCAGATTTGTACGGGCCAGGGACGCTGGGTAAACACTCTCTACATTAACGAATAAATAGTTTCTGCTCTTTTGACTGTAAATGCAGAAAGTGTAGTTTCAGAATATTCTCCGACATTTAGCTTTACATCATTGGTTATGTTGGCAAAGCGATCGTGTCAGAAAATGTCTGTTCAGTAACATCAGTACGCTTGTTTTGCTGAACTGTGGTATTAAGTTGTAAGTTATGTATCAAAAGTCAAATGCAGTAAGTCTAATAAACTGTGAGAACCACCGCATGAAACAATCCTGAAACAATATATTTCTCTTCCTAATCTTCTTTTAGCCCCATGATATTTTTCCTTTGTTCCTCCAAAAAATCTATATGTTTTATTAGTGGCCATGAGTCAAGGAGAAGTTAATGAAAATGTGATGTTTTTCAACTTATCTTTTCAGAAAAAAGTCCTGACCTTTAAAGAAACGTAATATGGTTTCTAGCTAATGCTGACATTTGCCTGAAAAAAGCTGGCTGGATATCTTGGAATTGTTGGCAAAAACAGAAGAAGACAGTAGAAAGACTACAAAGTGCATCTTAAATGCTCCCTAGTCCAGGTACAGTCTACAGAGGAGTGTTTTTAGATGAATGGACAGCTGTATGTACTGAGGCAACGGTAGCAGCTTTTTCCTGTCAGATGCTTTCTGTGCTGCCAACTCATTTAACCCGACCTGTGAAGCACACTCGTGAAGAAGGCCGCCGAGGGGTCACGGCTGTGCAGCGAGACGTGCCTTTACGTCTTCTCTTGCATGAATTCTTGTTATTTAACGCCGCCGTCCGAAGTCATTGCGTCTCATCGGCTTGGGAGGAGCGTCGTAGGCTCCACATGCTGACACGTGCATTTCCCTAACAAGCATCAAATAGGTTCTGTCCAGACGTCGTGCGAGTCGCTTATATTTATGCAGCCGCATGGCACCCTGCAACAGAAACACGGGGCCACGCCCTTTCTTCCATCCTGCATGTCCTCGGGAACACAGAGAGGGACGGATGAAACGTGCTTATTAGAGCATGAACGTGATCCAGTTCGCCTGCTTCAACCAACACCAGGATGTGATGCACAGTAACCCTGTAGCCATGTAGCTACCCCTGCTTGTTGGATGTATTTTAACTTTGCATGCGTAAGTGTGCATGTAGGTGTGTGTGTTGGATTGTGAGCAGGGTTGAAGCACCCCTTTATGGTCCGGTGCCAGTGTCTCTACGATGCTGCAGTGTTTGGCCCAGTCAGTCCACAAGTTATCACACTTCTCAGACTCCTTGTCTGCTGTCACACTCACACACACTCCTACAGTAGGTCTACACTTCATCCCTCAGTCTGTATTGAACTAATCAACATGTCATACAGCTCCGCACAACACTAAACAAAGAGGGCTACGCATTTAAATGAATAAAAAGGTTGAATTGGTCCAGAACTCCAGCATCCCCGATCCTGAAGGCCACAATGGTCCAACTCTATTATCTTTAATGTTTAATAGTGATGCCGCTTCCTACAAGCTTTCACAACTATCCAGTCATAACATGAGTGGACTTAACACAGTTATGGACCATCAGTAGACAGAAGTACTATTTCCAACAATAAGCCACACAAACAATAAAACAGTGTGTCTGTGATTTAGGGGATTGCAGCACCGAGACGCGAGAAGAACAATCAGTTTATTTTCCGTTTACATGAAAAAAGAATGAAAAACAACAATCGACTGATTTAAAATCATTGGTGCAAGTAACACAATGGAAGAAGCCATGAACAACGAATGGAATAAATATATCAGAACATGAAAGTCAAGAAAAACAAGAATCCCCATCACTAGGGACTCAGCAGCAGGGAAGCCCACAAATGGAAATGAATAAATGCTTCACAAGTGTTTCATGCTAATGTATATTCATCAGAAAAGCAGCCAAATCAAGACGACTCGTTTCACAGCTGGACAAAGAAGCGACCCACACAGAGAACACAGGACCAACGTTTTACTGCCCAATAACAAAGATGGCCTCCCTGCTGAGTTCACTGTTGGACAATGACGATGATGAAAGTGTTTGAAAAGCTACAGTGAAATTATGGCTGTTTATGTTAATGCTTAACAACATATACAACCCTTCCACTATAATTGTAAGATATACCTCCACAAGTGGGTTGGGGGATAAGTTTTAATCCCATGTATGTTAACACACATACAACAGAAAGGTAAAGCTACTCATGACTTGTAGTAAGCATAGACACACGGCTGTTGGAGCTAAAATAACTTCAAAACAGAGGTCTTCATCAGGGGGTCCGCGGAGGAGCTGTAGGGGGGTCCCAACATTTTTGGTTGATAATAATTTTTTTCCCACAAATTTAAATGTTTTAAACCTATTGTAGCGAATGGATGAATTCAGAAGACGTTATCTTTCATGTCATGGTGTGGGTTTGCCTCCTGTCTTATTTAGTAGTTTTCTGCCTCTTGCCTCCCTGGGTAACTTCACTTCCTGCCTTGTCCTGTCATCCCCTGTGATGGTCTGATTGTTTCCACCTGTGTCCAATCACCTGCCCCTCCCCAGTGTATTTAAGCCCTGTGCGTCATGTGTCCTTTGTCGCCTCATTGCTGAATGTTCATGTCATTCCCGGAGCGTCTTGCCCGTTCCCGTCTGCATTTTTCCCTTTTTTGAATTTTGACTATCAAAGTCCCTTTTTGTTTGCAACTCTGTGTTTGAGTCCTGCCTTTACCTACCCGTTCCTGACATTTCAGTCAGACATTCATCTTCCCACAGCAGCTCTCAAGCTTGGCACTGGTTCATTCACAGTTCATACAAATAGACAGCACAGGCATCAGCCAATCAGATCGCAGTTATGATCACGTCTAAAGAGCGCAAAGCTCAAAAATAAAAGATGGCGGACCAAACTCCGTAGAATAGGGGGTCCCTGCTCCATCTCGCCATCAGTTTGGGGGACCTTGGCCTGAAAAACGTTGAAGACCCCTGCTTTAAAAGACTATATATACAGACCAGAAAACTGTATAAGCTTTAAAAACAACGGTAGGGTGTAAAATATTGGTGGAGCTTTTTAATGAGATAAAATCCTCCCATTTTGAGGAGTCTTAAACAAACAGTCCCTCCAATCACCTTTGTCCTTCCCCTCCCCCACTACGTGAACCGTGTGTGGTGAGTCCTGGATGAGGTACTGGTGGTATGTTGAAAGAACTATAAGGAGCTGGTACAAGAACTAGATACTGTAGTGGGGACAGGGGGGGTAAGGCACAGATGTTATTCTCCCATGAGAAGGGAGTGAAGGTTACTTCCTAAACCTATACACCTAAAATAAGTAATACATTAAATATCTGTAAAATACTGTCCACCAAGCACCACAGGGTGAGAAAAGCTCCATAGACCTAAGGTACAGAAACAAGAGTATTAGAAAAATAACTGATATCAGGCTTTGATTGAGAGGTAAGTGTGTAGAGGTGTGGTTGTAGAGTGGTTCCAGTTGGTTAACGATGTCTTCCCCTTAAAGATGAGCGGTAGACGGCAGAGCGGGGGTCAGTAGAGTTGTTTGCTCCCATTCTGAGAGATGGTGATTAGAAGGTTTTAAACCGCTCATCTTGGGAGGGGGGGGCACACCGACCGGAGGAGCTTAGAGACGCCCGGTGCCGTGAACACTTGAACATTCCAGTCTCAGGAGACGCTGCTCTGCTGCCACGTCGATCATTAAATGTTAAAACGGAGCGCAGGCAGGACAGCTCTGTCGAGTGTTGACCGTGTGGGACAGCTGGAGGAAAGTAGCTGCCGTCACAGAGCACTGTGCACGTGTAGGAAGTTCATCACACCTGCACTCCAAAAGCCACCATCCAAACGTTCTGTGGGAGATGTTTCAACGGCC